AACCTCTTTATACCAACGAATTCATGATTGATTAAATCCATCTGTTATTTTTTGTGAAATGAATGATAGGCGTTTGGGTTGGACCTTCTCGTCAAGCCAGATTCATTCATCTCAATAAGGAAAAGGAAACTTCCAAGAAATTGTCCTTCCAAAGTGCACCTTACACTTCCAAGAAGAGTCTCTTCCATAATCGTGGCATGCTTCAGAACATCAAATACAATTCCTTACAACGTATTGATAACATGTTGCATTCGTATCGAATTCGTACATTGAAATCACTCAAGCAACAATCTCAACCAACTACAGGTGAATCGAGTTTGAGTAAACCACGAGTTGGAATTCAAGGACCTCTTGCTTCTGCTGGTGCAGGTTTGAGTCAGAAGGAATTGATGAAGAAGATTTATGTCAAGAAACAAAAACCAATGGCAGTGATTGGAGGACCATCGAGTTCGAGTCAAAAGAAGACGACAGCACCTGTTCAGAAGAAGAAGCAGTAATCGATGACGCGTCAGAACAACAAGATCATCAATGACCCTGTTGAAGAAAATTGTAAATAAAGTAACATGTTGAGAATTTTCTGGAAGTTGGGTTCACAAAAAAAATGTCAAAACGAGAACATGAAGAAGCCTTTTCGGAAGTGTTTTTTGATTTTTATGATGATCGTTTAGATGAGGAAAAGCGTAAAATTAGGAAAATGAATTCTTCATGGAACGATCATGAGGATCGAGAAATGAACGATCATCATACTACGACAGCAGCTATTGTCGTCATCATTATAGATTTTGAAAATACGTTATTGCAGAACCATCATGAAAGTACTTGTTACGGAGTAGATCAAGCACCATCTGAATTTTATTCCTTGCAAGAATTAAGCTCTAAATTGAAAAGAAAATTACGGAATGAAAGTATGCATCGGGCTCAACCATTTTCAATGAAATTTGAATATGTGGAATCGTTACGGTCGATTGGTTTTATACAACCTGTGGATATCAAAATCTCATACGTATATTCGTATATTATTGCGTCAGAAGGGTTTTCTCGTGAAATTCTGTTTTTTGATTTGAAATCTAAACGATTGCATACCAAGTTGTTTTTATTTTCAAAGTATTTATGCGTGGAGGAGAACAATGAAGAATCAGTATTGTTATTTGGTTGTGAGCAAACGAATGATGTTTTCAAATTTGATTTGCAAAAGGTGGCGACAACCAATCAAAATTCCTCCGTAGATCATAATGATTTTGTTTGGAAATCCAACTGTACCGAGATGCCTGGATCTATTCAAGTTCTCAAAACACAAGTATTTGTGGCATCGTATGAAAAAAAGTATATTGACATTTTGGAATTAAGCACTGGAACTCTGATTCAAAGATGTCACTTGGAATACACACCACGGTTCATTCAATTTATACCACTGCGACTCTATGAGCACCCGTATTTGATCATTATCGAGCACAAAATATTACCACGCATTTCTTTGTTTCAATATTGCACATCTGAACAGAAATGGAAGAGAGAACGATCGTTGGGAACGTTTGGGTCGCTCGATACGGGTGAATTCTTTTCGCCGACTCGTGTTCTTTATGACAGAGCCTACAAACATTTAATCGTTTCATGCAAAGCAGTAGAAGGACTGTGTATTTTATCTTTGGATGGAAAGGTTTGTAAAATTACTTGTGAATTGGGATTAACCTTTAAGATTGTGAAATCATTCGAACAAGGGTTATGCCCATCACGAGAACGTTTCGAAACGCCAGATGGAATATGCTTGAATGAGTGGACAGGAGAGTTATTTGTTTGTGACGTTGTCTACAGACGAGTGCAAATATACAAGTAGTAGCTTATTGCAATTACAAACTAATACCAATTTATTTTAAAAGAAGATGAACCAAATCTTTACGAAATTCAGAAAATAGCACTGAGCGTGAAAAATCTTTACAAAATTAAAAAGTCACACGCGTTAAAAATAATGAACAACAACAACAACAACAACTTACTCTCGGAGAGCACACCATACTCCATCAATGATAACAATGATTTTTTGGTGTTTTAAAGTGCTCCGATCACATACTCATCTCTCACACGAGAGACGGAATTATCATCTTGACAGAATGATAATCACATAGTTATTATTATATAGATCTATGGCCCGAATGATGAATCATTTTAGTTGTCTCTTCAACTTACCAATGTAATAAATGATGGTAATTCTTGATCAAAATATTTCTTGCTCCATTACCGTCACGAGGGATGTGGAAGTGACAATGATTGCAATGAAACCATTTGCTTCCATAAAGGTCTTCCTTGATCACTGAACAATTTCCACACGTTTTCGATGTATATTGTTCTGTGACAACATGTACCTTGCATCCACGCATTTCTGCCTTTTGCAAGAGTTTCATTCGAAAATCATAGTGTCTAAATCGCAACATTTGGCGAACAGTTTTTCTAGTAATTTTTCTTCCAACCCATTCGGAAGTGTTGGTGGTGGTTTCACTTGTAGTGGTGTCCCTTGATTCCCATCCTTCGAATGGTGAAGACGATGCAACAAGAGGTTCTGTTCGCACATCCATATTCTCCGTTTGGCCATTAGTATAACCTTCTTGTCCTTGACACGTGGTATCTTCTTTTCCTTGACGCTTCCTTTGTTTTTGTTTTCTAGCAATCATGGCCTTGACATTAAATTCAGGTATTATAATTTCAGAATAGTGGAAAGTTAAATAGTCAATAATTTTGTTATGCATATCATTCACCTTATTTCTAATTTTGCTTTCCAGTCTTCTAATCTTCTTTTTTAAGGCTTTTCTTAAACCCTTATAAAATTTTCGTTCCTGCCGAGAATTGTATTTTAGAAATTTGTTCTTGGCAATTTCCGACCTGAGCTGATCTTGCTTTAGAGAAAGGGAAAAGAGTATGGTGTTTTCTCCTTGAGCGGCAAACTCCAACGCGTCTCCATTACTATCATAACCATACATGAAGCATCGAACACCTGGATCCAATGCAATGTATTCCTTTCTGAGTTCATCTTGAGAAGGTTGTGGGCAGTCCTTGAGAAATTTCGTGTCATATTCAGTTCCACTGTTCGAATTGGACTCGTAAAAGCTTTTATCAAACCGTTGGAATTCTTGTCGAGTTAAAGCTTTGTGATAACGGACTGGAAGGCAAACAAAATATCTTCCTCTTTCTCTTACAAAGGTTGTCTCGTGTGAAAATTTTTTGTTGTCTTGATGTTTGGGTAGGCGATGGGCAGACGGATCATGGAAAAATTAGAATTCAGAAAAGTTCCAATCACATAAATCAATCACATTCATGTAAGAGATTCAAATCACATGTAAGTAAAATCGAAATACATATATATACATACCAATCTCTTCCTTTAACCACTTTCGTGCTCTTGCAGGATAATAAAATTTCAAAAGATGATCCGTAGATTTCTTGGAAGGACATGCACTTTCATTCCCTTTAAAAAAGGTAGGTTTTAACAACACTCCTTCCTGTGATAATGAAATGTTTGTCACCTTGAACGACTGATATGGATGTTGATTGCTTCGTCCTTTCATTTCGAATTCACGAGGTTGTCGAGTAAAATGCTTGGGATTAAATCTTTCGTTCAATTCCTCATCAGTAATCATCTCCTTCTTTCCTTTTTGAACCTTTTTAAGAAATTTGGATTTGGCCTTTCGAGCAGCCTCTTTGGATTCCTTTTCTGCTGCTTGCTTGTTTTTATATCTAGTAATTTTCTCAGCCTTGACAAAATCCTTCACAGCGTTCAATTTAATATCTGCTGGACAATGTTTCAACTCTTGATCCCATAGCCACCTAGTTTGTTTGAATCTCAGGTTGGTTTGGGGATTCTTCAAAATTTTAAAGTAATCGTCTTCTGTGGTGGTAAGGAGTGTTTTTCCCTTGTTTTGCTCTAACATGAAATGAAGGAGACATGCTTCGTTATAAGTATGGTTAGAATTGAAGAAAAATCTTTCAAAGACCTTCTTTTGTTCTGAGGTGAGTTTCAATCTCACTTTCTTTGTTCTCACAAAATAATTGTCTTCGTTTGAGATTGAGAAGGAGGTGTAAATTTGTTTTAGCAATTTCTCGATAGTGTCATCAGCTTTTTCCTTTGATTCCGCAGTAGTGGATGAATTGACTCCATTCTCAGCAGTCATAGATGAACTCACTCCATTCTCAGCAGTAGTGGATGAACTCACTCCATTCTCAGCAATCGTAGATGAATTCACTTCATTCTCTGCAGTAGTGGATGAATTCACTTCGTTCACAGTAGTCGCAGATGAACTCACTTCATTCTCAGCAGTCGTGGATGAATTCACTCCGTTCTCTTGAAGCATTGTTAAAGACTCCTCCAACGCAGATACTTCCTTGAATTCCTGAACAAGCTTCTTCTTTTCTGACCCGAACTTGCGTCCGTTGAACGAGCAGACTGTCCTTTTAAACTTGGAATTTCCACACTTACATGGCGTCTTTTTCCAAGTTTCTGATTTACTCCACACTTTTTCTACCAATTCCTTCTTGCTCGGAGGTGGTTCTGTGGATGGACATCGTTGGCGAACGGAGAGGGTAAACTAACTTTGGGTCGGTATTTTCAAACCATTCTTGGCAAAACATGACACGGGACAAATCTTGTTCAAACGATCAACCGTATCATCATGCCAAAACGGTTTTCTTAACTCCTTTGAATCAGTTGAAACAGTGGAATTGGGAACCATCCTTCTTTTATTCAATCTCTTCTTCGATGGTTGTTGTTTGTGATAGAGTTGCCTTTTTCTTAACCGTCGAACCTTATTTTTCAGCGACTGAAATGTTCGGTGTTTAAAGTAATCTCGGTAAATTTGTTCCAAATTCATTCCCTTCCGCAAGGATGTCACAATTAAATCCTCTTCCGACTGTGAATAAGGTTCTCCTGGAGTCGTTGATACATTGGACTTGTTCGATGATGGTTGTGCTTGTCTTAATGGTAAGGGTTTGGATGGACTTAATTGACCAATTTTCATAATCATTTTCTGGTAATGGTCAGAATTGGTCCATGTTTCAGGAAAAGTTATCGATACAGTAGAGGTAAAGGTGTTAATATTAGTGATTTCTGAAAAGGTTAAATCATCGACGCTCCATTGAATGATAAAATTTGTTGCATCTGAAGCATCATATGCTCCTTCCAATCTGGCACGATTAATCTTTCTTTTCAATTTCTTATACTTTTTCTTCAATGAGTTGATGGATCTATCAAAAAAGAATGTACCAATCTTGCTCCATTCTATATTGAATTGTTTTAAAAATAACAACATGTAATGTTCTTGGGTTGCGTATGCTTTTCCTTGATCGAGAGAGAGAGGTTCAATACTAATTCCACGCTCCAAATAAGCAGTCCTTAATAAGTCTCCAAATTTATCAACAGTAGATACGTCTTTCAATACTTCCAATCTCTGCCAATGAGAAGCAATCTTCTTCTTTTTCTTTGCTCTTTCTTCCTCACACTTGTAATGATCACTCAAAGTGTGTTCACATGGCGAAAATTTAATTTGCGCCATTGGTATGTATGGAGGGATAGAGAAACCACCAAAACCACCAACGCCTTTCAATTTACGCCATTTATCAATACGTTCCATCATGGAACGTTTTTGATAAGGATGCTTGTATATCATTTGTGGTTGCTCCTTTACCACCAAGACTCTCTTTGAATTTTGAAAAGTTTTTTCAATTTCTCTGGTAGGATTGGGTGATTTGATGGGGTTGATATTAGAAACCGATGGCTTGTCAACATGTTCCAACTTGGGTGATTCTTGGTCCTTTGTTGATGTTTGTTCTGAAATTCTTGGAGGAAATGGTGGAATGATTGGATATAATTGAGGAGAGAAGGGATTTAGAGGGATCCATGGCGGAGGGAATTCAGGTTGAAAAGAGAGATTTGGGGAGAAAATGGCGGGATTTGGAGGGAAAATTGGTTGAGAGGATGGATTTTGTTGAGTGAAAAGATTGGGATTTGGTGGGAATATAGGTTGAAGGAATGGATGATGGGAGGAGGTGAAACGAGGGTTGTTTGAATTATTCTCCTCACGACTCTGGTTGTTCATGATGAATTATTTTTTTTAAAATATCCTTAATATTTTCTATCGTTTGGGTTGGTTGGTGATGATAATGAATAACAGCAAGCCTTCCGAACCAATGATGCCCTTTTGAGAGATTCAATACGAACCAATGATGCCATTTCCTAGGACTCATCTGACTCTTCATCAGAAGAAGTATCACTGTGATCATCACCCACCCGCTCGTAATCGTAATCCGTTCCATACTTCTGCCCCTCACGGCTCGTTATTAAGTAGTCCCTTATTTTCAAGTTTCATCGGTTGTTGTTGTTGCTGCCATTTATCAGTCCTTATTATCATGTTTCATCCAAATGTTGTTGTTCTCACGAGTTGCAAATGTTCTGCATGTACTATTTGTATTTTGCCAAAAATCGTTATGCAATTCCGGGCGGATCTGCCTAAAGCTTTACAAGGCATACACCCTCTCGGTTGGAATTGAGGCAAGAGTTGTTGTGCAATAAAGTACATAAACAAAAGCACTCAAATGATGCATCAAGAAACGTTGACCCTCGCCAACTCGCCAACAAACTCGCTGGAGTATTTTGGCTCGGGTTAAACCACTGTGTGTCACTCTTAATTTCGTAAAGAAATAGTGTGGCAACTTAATTTTGTAAAAGCACTTTAAAAAAATGATTAGGACTTGTTCTTCGCCATCGTCGGTTACCTCAGCAGCGAAGATGAGTCTTGTTCGTTTCACCAATATTTATACATCTTCAAGGTTACTACGGAATCATCAAAAGAAATTTTTCGTCTTCCATCCCGATACGATCCAGTCCAATCAAAATCATTTATACATGGATCATCAACGGAACCACAACAGCATGAGAAATATTTCTTTTCAATTTAATAAGAATGAGGAAATTCCCGATCATTTTGATTTTGTGGTGATTGGAGGAGGCTCCGGAGGCATTGCTTGTTCCAAACAACTCTCACTTGCTTCCAATTCAAACACAAAAATTTGTTTACTAGATTATAGAGATCCGTCCAATCATTGGCTTGCGGAAAGAAATGGCAAGCTGAATGGTTGGTTATGGCCACTCGGTGGAACATGTGTCAATGTTGGATGCATTCCAAAAAAGCTAATGCATAAAGCTGCACAAATCGGAGAAACCCTTTCGCATGATGCCGCCGAATTTGGATGGAAATTAAAGACCGAGCAGCACGATTGGAAAATTCTCGTCTCCAATGTACAAAACTATATCAAATCTCTGAATTTTGGATATCGAACAGCCATGACACATACCTATGCGTTTGATGCACAAGATTCGTCACAAAAAAAGCTCTACTATCTCAACATGAAAGCCAAATTTATTAATGACCATACATTGGAATTGACTGACCCAAGAAAGCAAACCACACGAACCATTACAGCTGATCGAATTATTATTAGTGTGGGAGGCACTCCCAATATACCAAGCGACGTGCCCGGTGCTAATGAATATTGTATTACGTCAGATGACATCTTCTCGTTACGAGAGGCACCAGGAAAAACACTTGTGATTGGAGCTTCATATATTGCTTTGGAAACGGCTTCATTTCTACGAGGTCTTGGCTATGATAGTACTGTCATGATGAGATCAATACCACTTAGGGGATTCGATCAAGAATGTGCTTGGAAAATTGTGGATGGTATGAAAGATCGAGGAACAAAATTCTTGGAGCGATGCATTCCTGTCAAGATTGAAAAGATTGATGGAGAACATGACGAATATTTAGTTCACTACAAAAATCTTGACAATGGAGCAATTCACACTGAAAAATTCAATACAGTCATGTTTGCTGTTGGACGAAGAGCTGTGACATCTGAATTGAATATAACTTTGGATATGGATGATAATGGAAAAATTATGGCCAATGAACGCGAAGAAACCTCAAAAAATCATATTTATGCCATTGGAGATTGTATTAACGTAAGTGACAACGAACATGGTTAAACTTTACTTAGTTGAATTGGAAAATTGTAAAATCTGTCACTTTCACTATTGTCATTTTCAATGCATGACGGTATTTTCCATTTTGATATGATTGATATTCACAGAGAAAAACCGAACTCACACCAGTGGCCATTAAGGCTGGCACATTGTTAGCCAATAGACTTTGCTCTGTTAGCTCTGAACTCATGGACTATGACAATGTACCAACCACTATTTTCACACATCCTTATGAATATGGTTGTTGTGGATTATCGGAGGAAGAAGCCATTGCTCGTTTCGGAGAAGATCAAATCGAAGTGTACATTTCTAAATATGCTCCTATTGAGCATTCTCTTGCTCATCGAGATGAGAACAAGACTTTTATGAAACTTATTTGTCATAAAACAAATGAAAACACAGAAAGAGTGATTGGATTTCATTATATTGGAGATAATGCTGGTGAAATTACCATGGGAGTTGCAGTTGCAATGAAATCTGGTGCAACAAAACAAGATTTTGACAATACCATTGGAATACATCCAACCGCTGCAGAAGAAATGACGTTTTTAACCATTACGAAACGATCTGGAAAATCAGCAGAAAAAGCAGGATGCTGAGGATAGCTCTCTACCACTACTGTGTACAATTTGCGCGCCTAGATTGTCGACATTTAATGGTCTAAATATTGTTTATTAGGCGTACGATCTAGGCCTGAGAGAGAGGATTTTATGGAACAAGATTGAGAATTACTAGTGTAATTATCCTCTCTCACGAGAACAAGTGGTAGAGATTTTCAAGGAAAACCACAAAATGCAAAGTTCATATGATTGCTTTTTGGAAACTTGCGTGACATTACATACTGACAAACGTATCACTTTCCCAATACGAGTCCAATGTAATTGAAAAAGAGTTTCCATTGCTACAAATACAACATGTGAATTTGCATTCGAATATTGTATTTTCAACAACATTTTAACACAATCATTTATCTCAACGATTCTTTGTACTTTCATTCGCATTGAATGGCACGGACAAGGAGAAGGGATTATCATCCTCCTCCATGATAGAAATGGAAGGAGCCGAAGTGGAATTGATGGGATCTGTGGTTGAAGAAAAGGTCCATGCTCCTTCTGCACCACCTAATTGGTGGCCTTCTTGTTCTTGAAAGTGATGATGAGACTCTCCAACGCAAGCACTGTAGCCCTTTGAAAGGTGGTTTCGTTGTTGATCGGAAAGGTAGTTGTTGGTTTTGTGTCTGTGGTGCAAATGTTCTTCTTCCATTTTGTTTTGACCCATTCAACAAAGCAAAAAAAGGTCATGGATTGGTGTTGGACGAAAAAGGGAAGTTCCCACTTTCGCTTTTATGATTTACAACGGCTGTACAATTGACGTCGTATTGAATTCCACACAGAATTCTTTGTACATTCATTTTTGTCGTAGATGTTGTACAATTCTGCAAACACATGAAAGCAACACAACATTTTTCAAATGCAGAGCCGTTTATTGCTGTTAAAAACGATAACGACAATGACAAGCATGCCTTTTATCACAATAACAAATATACGAGTCAGAGCTTTCGTACCAATCGTATGGTTCACAGTCGCCATAATCACAGTCCACAGCATCCTCAAGGCCATCTTCTCTTGAATATGACTCTTCGTCATCCTCTTCAGAAGGGATGATAGGCTTGAACGATGCTGGATTATTGCCACTCGAAATCGCCATCTCATACATGTAATTACTATCAGGTAAAAGGACATTGCTAGTTGTTGTTGTTGCTATTTGTTGCTCGGAGCCATCGTGATGATGATGATCTTCGGATAAACCGAAACTAATAACATCAAGCTCATCCACCCAAAGGGCACGGCTCATGTTAGAGAAATAATAATTATAATAATTAAACGGAGGAGAGAAGTGATGAGCAGTTTGTTCCATGCCCATTCTTCTGTGTGATGGTGTGTGGATGAATAGTTATTAATAATGATGATGATGAAATTCAAGAGAAGTGCTTTTGTTTTTTTTTTTGTTTGGAAGGATAAAAATAGTGTCGTGAATTCAAATGAAATCCTCAATTTGTAATGAAGATGACCAGCATGATGAGAAGTGTTAAAAACATATAACTGGAACGAGAATTCCCAACTCGCTTCAAACGAAGAGAGAATGATACCGAATTTTTATTAATAATTGTTATTGTTGTTACTAGTATCATTGGTCAATGTATTCATATTCGTTTGAAACATTTCTCTCCCTTGTCCAAATGTATTCTGAAATGTATTCACAACTTGTCGATTCGTTGTAGGATTACTCGTTTGACAACAACAAAAGAACACAAGTAATCCAATCAAACTAAAGATCATAATTAAAAAACCACCTCCAGCACCAATACTTGCTCCAACAATGGTGATGATATCTACATTACTTTGCATTAAGGAAGTGTTGTCAATGGTTTCACTTGAACAACATGATTTTCCAGAACGACAATACTCTCCATTGGAACAACATGTTGATCCATTGGGAATACAAGTATAGGTGTCTGGAGAACATGGGGTCAATCCAGAAACTTGACAGCAGACACTGTTGGCACAAGTCAAGTTACTTTTTGTGAGCGAATCATGACAACACACAGCGCCTGATTCACTGTTAACGGATTCCATGCTGTTTGACCACATGGGTCTCTTGATTGGACTTAGGAACAATTTACATTGTACTGAAGAAGCAAAGAATAGGAAGACAATGAACTGAATGAAAATTGCTTTCATGTTGAGAATTGTTTTTTTTTCTGTCAAACCGCAACAAGTTGTTGAAATACTCTCCTATTTATTTGTAATCCACAGTGTTGGTGCTGATTAATGTCGAAACCATCCTATTGTTTCAAATGTGAAATTTGAAACTTCTCTTGCTTTATATAATTCGAGAGTTGAAGTTTCCAACATGACAAGTGAAGGTTTGAACTCAAACTTCGTGATTTTTTGAACGTTAAATTTGTTAAGGAATCACGTTTTTACGGTACAGCTACACCGTTCCAAACCAAACTCAACACTGTAGTCTGTTTATCATTATAATAACGCCATTAATGGAAAAAATTATTAAGGTCATTGAGGCATGAAAAATCCTTCTTTTTAAGAACATAAAACCACGTGTGATTCTCATCCCTTTCAAAATAGAATCATATTCTTGGAAAACTGAAGAAGATCATTTATTATTGAAAGACGACAGAACAATGACATGATATTGTCATCCAAAGAACTCGGAAAATTATGGATAGTACACTGCATCAAAAGCCTCTCCCAAAACCGTATCACAATCTTCTTGAGTGCTTAATGGGAATATGTCAAAGGATTCCACTGCTGTTATGTCATCCTTCAAGTCATTGTGGTCATTGGTTTCTTCTTCTTCTTCTGATGCAAAGTTATACTCAACACTCGACTCGAAAGAGTCTTCTTGTGCTTCTTCTCCATCAGCTTCAGAAGAAGAAGACTGAACTTGTATAGTTGACAAGAACATTTGGAAAGTCGTTATGGTTTTGAATGAGTAATGATTGCCAAACTTGTTGTGTTTATCATTCGCTTTTTGAATCTTTGAAAGCTTGGGAGCCTTGGCTTTATCGGAATCTTGATGAAGAGAGGAAGAGGTATTAGAGTTATTCATTGAAGGAGTCATTGAATGGTCCTTGTTCGTTAGTGAGTGGTTGATTTTCGTTGAGAATATGAACAGATTAGATACGTTTTGAGAAATTAGAGTCAAAATGCTGAAAAGCACTCTTTACAGAATGCTGGAGTTGTTGCGAGTGTTTGCTGAAACAAGAGGCCTCAGTCCAGTGAGCCACTTTTTTTTCATTGGTTTTCAGATAAAAATAAACGTGAAAATCCAGCCAAATGGCATTTGACAGTTCCCAACTCAAACAGCTCTGAAATTTAATCCTCTTCAATTAATTGAAAAAATTCATGATAATCAATGAAAACTATCCTTTCCCGAAATGATTATCTTCTCACACAAATCAATTGCTTTATCTTTTCCTTCAACTCTTCCCAATGCCTCTTCACAGGTTCTCCCACAAATTTCTTCAACTTTTCATGAATGGGATCCTTTTCCAATCGCTTCTCTTTCGTCACACTATACATGATCACTCCCAACACTAAAATTGCCAATGCCTCCAAATCCATCGCTGTCAAATGTGAAGAAGTGGCAGGTCCAGCCAAAATTGGAATCATAAAACCAATGGTTGACAAAACCAATCGAAGAGCCGCTGAAATTACAGCCAAAGTACTCGATCCATATTTGAATACAAACAACATGGAAATGTTAAATGCCAAGTTGAAACACATAAAGACTAAAATCACAGCCCAAACCATTTCACAGGCATCGCCTTTTGCTGAATTCATTCCAGCAAAACATTTAAATCCATTTCCTAAATATTCTCCAAATTGGGAAATATTCAATGCCGAGTACGGAGGAGGAAATGGAATAAAAGCAATGGGAATGGTAAACAATCCAAAGATCAAGTTGAAAACCATGGTCCAAGTTTGCATGTACCAGACATCCATATCGACATCTCGTAAACATTTTTCAGTATAAACATTGGAAGCAGCACTCACGACAGTTGACAGGAAAATGAGAAGTGCCCAAAACAATTGAGAAGAAATACTCTTTCCAGGACTCGAAGAAAGAAGAAATGTTGGTAAAAGATCCAATCCAATTCCAATGGCGACGAGAAGAATTCCACCTAAATGAAGAATGTTGTAACGAATGGAAAGGAAGAGGAAGGAGAGAAGAACATTGTTGATAATGACTGCTTGATTTAAGGCAACGTTTAAATCTCCATCAATGTAGGCGCTTGGAACTACTGAAATGAGATTGGAAATGCATGAAAGAAGTCCTAAAATTGCAAACTGTGTGAAAAATATCATGACATGCCAAATGTCAAACCAAAGATTAATTTCATCCACTGCTTTTAAAATCTTACCTTATAGAGAGGAAAAGTTCTCATCTCTTTCGTTATGGATTTCGTAACAAACATTTTAAACCAAACAATTGGCCACAACAAGACACAAAATAAAATCGGAAGAAGGACCGAACTCAAAAACACGGAATAATTTTGCATTTGTGTGGAAATTCGAACAATTAACACAAAATCGACACTCCGTGTTAAAACCATCACAACGGTCGACACGAGTGTAATGATCAGAGCCAAACGAATGGAATAGTTGCGTGAAAATAGAGTGAATTTAAGTTCCTTTTCGAACAAGGATTTCTTTGTCGTCTCTTGTCCATGTTCATGGCCATCAAATGGAATGGTTGTGTCGTTGGCCACATCCATTTCTGGACTTTGTTTTCGTTTCAGAATGGGATCTTCCTCTTGAATGGAGTAAGTGTTGGAATGAACAAGATGATGTGCCGATTCATCATTGTTTGGTTTAAAGAATTTCAAAAGCTTGTGCATGACGTTTGGCATTTCTGTGACGAGTAATGTACTTTTTTTGGAGAGGATTACAATTCCTATGGGAAGATGACAATGATTCTTGTCTTGGTGGATTCATTCACTTGGAACGTTTGGTATCTTTTCTTTTGAGAATTTATCTGCGATTTAATAGTTCATTACTATTCTCACCCCGGAGAATCCGGAGTGTAAATTCTCCAGGACATGTTGGAACAAGAGAAATAACGGGGAATATTGACAAAAAATAAAACCCTGTAAATTGAGCGAGAGAGTTTACAACGAGATCGATAGCTTGGGAAAGGATTCCATTTCTATGAAATGATGCCAAATCGTGAGATTTTTTCAAAATTGCACTCTCGTGTTACAACAACCTCACTTGAATAAGTCCAGAACTTCGTTTCAGTCACTATTCAATGCAATTCTAAGGTGTAACCCGCACACAATTGAACTCGTTATTAATTCTAAGGCCCAATAAGGCAAGTAGAATACAGATGAAATGTTGCCATGTACATAGAATTGTTTTCGTTTTAAACTATGATTCAAACACTGTCTCCAATTTGTGTGACAATGACAGGATCACTCACTTGTACAATCATGAAAGCATGAATTGGTTTCGAGTATTTCTTTGCTTCTTTCAAGGATTGGACATAGACACTCAGTTGTTTTGATTCGTTGTCAACAAGACTCTGAACTGTCCTCATTCCAGTTTCTGTGGACTTCTCTCTTCCAAAGTGGATCGTTTTGTTGGAAGTTTCAGCAATTTAGTTTCGAGTAAACACGAAAGCCCGTTGTTGTCTTTCTTTTCAGTATTATTGTAACTCCAAGCCCCTCTCCTCACATCTCTCTTTGCTTGTAATTTAGATTCAAGATATAATACACGTTTCAATTGAGCTTTGCTCCATTCCAAATCAAAAAGTGGTAGTCTCTCAACGCCAAACTTCAACATTTTTTTCATGTTTTGACCATTTTCATCACTCACAAACAATATTACTTAGACGAAAAAGTAGACAGAGGGCCTTCGGTGTACATGTTTCTTTAATAAATTTTTTTATATAGTGATTAATACATTTTATTTTTGAAGGAGCTGCTATCAACTAGTATTAAGACGCCCTTAATTATGGACCAACTGAATATAAATGGACAGAGTTTGTGTGATCAAAGAAAAAAATGAGTCAGTTTCAACCAAGCCGTTGTTTCTTGTTGGGTTTTGTCCTTTTTTCGGTTATGATCATTGAAACATTTTCATTATTGGATCATGATCGGAATGTAGCTGCCTTGCCGATTTATTCGAACGAAAAATTCAACACCAAGATCGGAAGTGAAAGACTTATTGGTGGAACTATTCCATACTTTGAAACGGAGTGTGGGTTCGTATTATGAAAGAATATTGATCGCAAGTTATATATGGATTTATTACAATCATGAATGGCAATGTGGATCATTGACATTGTGATCTCATATTTAATTTGATCGGATTCATATAATATTGCAAAAATATTGTCGACATTGAATTGATTAGAACGAATTTTGAAGTGGGTCAACAAATTGGAGCTCACTTTAAAGATAGAATTCGATCATTATTGTTCAACAACTCTCTTCCATTCCAGAGGGTCTATCTTCCTTTTTCAAAACAACATCCGCAAGTGATTGAGCAGCTGTATAAAGTCAACAAGCTTTATTTTCCTGAATATATTCAAGAAATAGAGGGTGTGGCTAAAGGAGCCAATGTTCCTTCGGAATGGATATTCTTAATGAATGTTGGAGTTGAAATTGGAAATGGCGTTTCAAATGCATCAGCCATCTATTCAAGAAAGTTGTTTGAGAAATCCCCATTTTTGGATAAGCAATGTTCTGACGTTTTCGTGTCTGTTGTGGACAATCAGATCGCGGCAAATCCACAACAACTAGTTGCCTTACTCGGTCACAATGAGGATGCTTCTAGTTATAGCCAAGATTATGATTATATTGTAAAGAGTTGTATCAAGTCAGACAAGTCAAACGCCTCTTTAATTTTCACTGCCTATCATTATGCAGGTCAATTGCCAGGCAATGCTTTTGGATGGAATGAATATATGGCATTCTCAACCAATGCTCAATTTCCCACAATTGTTCGTCATTCAGGAAATGGAGTTGCCCGAAATTTTGTCAATCGATTCGTGTACGAGTCGAAAAACGTTGAACAAGCAACTGAAAATTTGAAGCGTTTTGGATTAATTTTAGCGAGTGGATTTGCTTCTAATTTGGCTTCGTTACCTGAACCCAAAGAATTCTCCTCATCCACAGTTCAACGATATGAAATGGCAGATGTTGAAAGTGCTCCCATGATTACACAAGGAGTTTTAGAAATGACCATTCACAAAGTAGAGCCCATTGTTGTAAACCATTCTTCTTCACCATCATTTTACTTTCATTTAAATTCATACAGAGATTTAAAAGTTCCTCAATATCTAGACCCCAGTAGTGTTCACAGACAAGCACGAATGGAGCAATTTATCAACACTAGTGTCACTACACCACAACAAGTTCTCTCCATTCTTGGTGACAATCAAGATAAGGAATATCCAATTTATAGAAACGGAGCTCCTCCAGATACCGATGTTAAAACATTGGCAACTGTGTTATTTAATCTAGTGACAAGAGAAGTGAGTATTTACAATGAAAATCCAAAACATGCCAAACCAATTTACACATTCAAGAATTGGATGGATTTGGAACAGCAATGAAATTCATCATCAAAAAAAATGCTTTAATTTCTAAAACTTCATCAACACACTATTTTTCATCATTTTACAGCTGAAAAGTAACAACATTGAAATTCGTTGGACACGAGCATATAATACTCGACATTTTATAATTTTCAAAATTATATAAAAGAATTCATTGAATCATCATCATCGGGATCATCGTTGTTTTGGAAGAAATTGAAAGAATGATATCCTCACATACCTTTCATCGGTTGCAAAAACTCATTCATCATTTAGTTCCAACCGCATCTATTCCGTCCAATGTAGAAGAAACCTCTTCTTCACTCCATCCTCGTGGAAAGCCTTCTTCTCAAATTGATCCAAATGAGAACAATTCCGTAATAATGGAATTTTCATCACCCGAAGAAGCCATCATCATGGTTGATAATGAACGTGATTTTCATGATTTATCCAAAGCATTCCGAGAAGCAAAATCTTTGATTCCATCTCCGAAAATTATTATGGGAGATTTAACTCAATTTCTGAAAACGGTACAAAGTAACACTACGAATGAACAGAATTCAAATAGAGAATACAATAACAGTACTTTCCATGTTTCATCGATTTCTCAAAACTATACGAGTAATTACCAAGACAAGTTCACTTTTGGAAATAATAATTCTGCAGCCTTGAAGAAGATAACAGGATCAACAACTCCACACTTTTCAAATGCTATCTCTATATCGGCTGATGCAGCGGAGGATGAGCTCGATATTCTCGTAAGAAGAGCTGAAGAAATGAGAATTCAAGAGGAATTGATTGAAAAAGGTACATTAAAACATGCCTCTGGAAAAATCTATGAAGTTGTGAAATATATACCACATTTAATTGTCCCGACATATGTCGAGGAAAGTACTCGGGCTGGTATGGAGAGTAGAGAACGACGACGACAGAGAATCAAGATTTTGTACGATGTGCAAACCACACGAGCTCAAACACCTGCATTTCTGGATGTGTCACAAGATGACCCAAAAACACCTCTTGCTTTTCGATATATTCGAATTATTCTGACTACTGCAGAAGCGAGAAGAGCTCAAGATATTCATCTCGATCAATACAGCGCGAATTGCATGAGTATTGTCTATGCCACTCAATTGGGTGTGACTGGAAAATTAGTTCTCAAAGGAGCGGTCGTTCAATCCATTATTTACTACATTGCATTCTATGATTTATTGAGCAGTGGAAAGCCAATGCCTGGCGCTGTGAGAGACTACTCGCTGAAAATTAAGGTTCGTTCGCACGATTTTTTGCAAGGCACATTTAATGTGTATCGTGTGAATTGTATTAGAACGAATCACGAATTAGGGTTATATCATATAGTGATGAGAACGTTACAAAATTAATGGATTGATAATAGGATTGTGAACATTTTGGAAAAAACCCCAAGGTTACAAACGAATGAATTTCATATGCGTTTTTGGAACACAGTGCTGAATCATGGTGACATGCATCATTGATTTGCAATGATAGCTCATCCAAATTGGAATACTTGCTATTAGCTACTATTCAAAAAATTATTTGAAATCTTTTCGATTTTATTGAAGGGTGGCAGGCTTGGTAGACGGTTCGTACATGTTGTTGTTGTCATAAATACTGGCCCATATTAAACAACAATATTAAATAATAAAAAGGAAGTGAAAAAACTCTAGGAAAATCTAGCATTAAAATTGTGAACATTGGTTACAGCAAGAAAATTAATTGCTTAATCCTTCTTGCTTCCCTTCTTCTTGGTTGACTCTTTTTTCTTGGATTCCTTCTTCTCTGGTTTTTGTTTCTCCTCCTCTTCCTCTTCCTCTGCTGCTTCTGTCATTTCTGTATCTTCTTCCTCCTCTTGCTCTTCTTCTTCTTCTTGTTTGTACTCCTCATCCTTGGATTCGTCCATCGTGGAAGAGCCTCCTTCCGATTTCTTCTTCTTGTGTGATTTTTCAGTCTCCGCAAAATACTCGGTATCATCAGCATTTGGATAAATCTTGTGGCCATTGGCCTCGATGGCATGTTCCACATCTTTGGCTTTGATGGTTACTCTATCGGCATACACAGTGTAGACTGCAGAACGATAGAGAACATCCTCCAGAATATCCATATAAATACCCTTCACGACATCATAGACATCCTTATTAATTCTGAGAGCACCAGCTTTCAATGCCATTCTCTGAATGGATTTGCTGTTAATCATCTTTGGATCCTCCGATGATCGTCTCTTGCCAATCTTGCCTGATGATGTTGTTGTTGTCTTTTTGGTCTTTTTCTTGGACTCCTCTTTAGCAGGCTCTGTAGAAGAAGCCTCAGCCGAGGATGATGATGCCACGGCAGCTGCTGGCTCTTTAGTTTCCGTGGTTGAAATCTTCTTTGCTGTACCGGATTTTGATTTTCCTTGAGAACTCTCTTTTCCAGTACTGGTCTGAGAGGATGATGCTGGTGTTGTTGTTGCTGATGATGATGCTGCTGCAATGCCTTCTTCATCCTTGACCTCTTTCTTTTGGCCTTCAGCTTTTTTTTGAAGAGGAACGCTTGGTTTTTTTGGGGGCATTTTTTTTTGAATTTTTTTTTAATGCAATGCTTTTTCACTTCGCCAACTTGTTGGAAGGTGTTTGTTAAGGTAGCACAAATATTTGAAATAGTGTTGTTGATTCATATTTGAATTTATGGTGGTGATGACGAGTTCATTCGATCAGAACCGACCTGATACAATTGTTGAAGTCTCAAGAGAATTTTTTGTTCCAGAGCAGAAGTGGCGGTTTTCTTCGTCTTCTTTTCAGGATCGACTGCAGTCAGAGTGGTTGGCTTACTCGAGTCGTTGTGACTGTTGTGATTGTCATTATGGACACTATTACTTTTCACATTCTTGGTCTTTTCTTGAACTTGATGCAACAATTCTTGATATTCACGAATGAGGGAAGTAAAATCATTTTTCGAGACGTAGCTGTTTTGAAGTGAGAAATCTCGAATGGTTAATTGGAGAAATTTCAACTCTGCATTCGAAGGATCTTCTTTTGCGAGTTGTTCCAATTTAGGAGCTGCTTCTGGTAATCGTTTGAGCATGTGCATTCCTGCTACATAAAACGATGCTGCTTTCACAACATTTGGTTCATGCTCTTCAAATAAAAATCGTAATGTAAAGAGAGTTTCAAAGGCCTCACAGCATGCCTCTGCATTACGAGCATAAAAGTACGCTCTTGATTTCAAAAACAGTACTTGATTCAACATGTGATTTGTGAGAAGGAGAGGATTTCTCGGAAATAGTAGTTTTTCTAATTTTCCCAACTCGAGTAACATGCTCTTCACAGCGCTTTGAATTTTGGCTGCAAGTTGAGATCGTGAAAATAAATCAATTTGCATGCTATAGAGTTGTGCCTTACGGAGAGGAGTTGGAAGGAATGGAGTGAAACCTGAGGTGAGATAGGGTAATTGGTCCTTCCGTGTTTGTGGTGGTGTTTGTTCTTTGAGAATATTTTCTAACTTTTCAACCAAGGAAAAGGCAGATTGTAGCGCTTGCTCAATTTTGTACACATTGGTATCAAAATCTTTCATCATTAAGAATTTTGCCTTCTTTTCCAGAACCAAACAATGGAAATATAATATATAGGGATTGTTTGGATCCGTTTTCAGTAATTCATTCAATTGAGATTCTACCATAGCATAGGATGATTCGTTTCTAGCATTAAAATTAAAAATGATTCGACACAAATTCATGCATGATTTCACATTGATAGGTAAGTCAGTGCTCCAATCGAGGATAATAGGCGTGGATTGTTGTTTCAATAAGGATTCAAATTTTTCATGTACCGTTTGCCACATTTTCAATAATATGGTTTTTTCGGTCATGGCTTCACTCATCATCAATGGCTCATTGAACAATATTGAATAACAATATCCCACAATAATCGACATGTTTAGAGTGACGGCTGAGTCATTCTTTTCCTTAATTGCCTCACCAAAAAAAAGAAGTAAATGTTTTTGAATATCGAATTGTGCCAAAATTGAATGTGAAATGTAATTAGACCATGGAGTAGAGTTCATGATATTTTTCACTACTTCATCTGTCATTACCATCCCAATACCGCTATCATTCGAATGCATAGTCGACGTTTCAGTAGTATCTGTTGCAACTGACTGGTCAATCGATGAGAAAATACTAGGATGATTTTTCTTGATTATGTCAACAAGCATTTGTGAAGTTTCACTTTGTTTTTCTTGCAAATTTAGTCTCCATTCTGGTGTATCGAAATGCCAAGCTTGTGCTATGGATTGAATGACTTTTTCCAAAAGAGGTAACAAATCATTGTACACATATGGTACATGTTTCGAATCCATTTTGAAATTTTTCATGACATTCATGAGATAAACTCCGGCCATTGTCTTGTTATTATCTTGCATCAAGTGGTTGACATGTGCTAAATGATTTTTCAAATCCGATTTAATTTTCATGATTGTTTCTCGAGTGGTAGAATCCAATGATTCCACAGGTTCAATAATAACAGATTGTTGTGAGTTTCCATCTTCCATTGTTTGATGTTGTTTGGAACCAGTCATCACTCCTTTCGATTTTTGATTTATTTTAGAAAATATATCCATAGAGGTATTTCTCAATTGTTGTTGTTGTTGTTCCTGACAGCACATGGTCAATCGGTTATTCCCAAAGAAATGATTTGTTTTGAACAGCACTCCTGCGAGGTTCCGATGGCAATGACGAGCCGAATGGGAAGAAAGTTTTCCGATGACAGGTTTGAACATTTTTTTTTTCAATTTCCCAACTGGATTTGGTGAACAAATAAATAAATTGTTTTTTTCATTTTACACCCATACATACATTACAGATGAATTCAAACACCACACTCAGGCTCATTTCGATGAGCCCAATTCACTCAAACTCTTATACACTGCATATTTGAAATAAATCAAAGAAAGACTTTCTCCAAATCCTAATAAAGCTCCCTTATACAGACTTCTCAAATTCTCTCTCTTCGTATGAGGAACATGACCGCTACCAAAATACATTTGATGTTTGTACAGAGCTTCCAATGGTGTCAATACCAATTTTGCGAGTCCCAACGATAATGACTGAGCTAATCTCTCAGCATACAAACTGCTTGCTGTGTCAAATGGCAAATACTTGCTTAGCAAGTTATCGAAAATGACACTCGATAAACTCTCTTCAACTACGCCGTACAACACAAAAGTTCCCACAGAGATGAGCCAATTAGCCCAAGTATCGCCACCAGGACATGCGGATTGAACTCCAATACATCCACCATAACCATTCACCACACTTCTCACTCTCTTTGCAACGAGAGGATATGTAATCACATCACTCAACATGCTTGTTGCAACACTGGGAATTTGTAAATTCCATTTAGCAGAAAGTGAATTCAAGCCTACCCGCAAGAAGAATCCTGAGAATTGAATACACAATTCTTCACCCAAACCCAAAAACCAAGGAGGTGGCAAAGCAATATGACGATCCGATATTAATTGTGCAGAGAATTGCTCCCGAGTTTTCATATTTTGCATAGGAACGAGTAAAATTCCTTTTGCAACGAGGAATGATAGGATGCCAGAAGCGGCATGAACACCAATGTAAGCCTTGCTTTGAGAAGCACTTTCAATAATGACGGAGGATTCTTGTCCTGTGCAAGTCAAGGAGTAACGATCAAAAAATTTCAATTATTTAAATATTTCATATCGTTTGCAACATCGGATCATGATAATGGTGTGATATTGGAAAATTCATATTGATTTTCAGAGTTCCGATCCAACACAATATCATTACTTTGTAGAAGTATTGTTCAAGCCAATGACCTACCATGAGCAGACATTTTTTTGAAATTACCTTAACTAGAAGAGAGAGAGTTGAAAATGTACAAATTTGTTCTTGTTAAAAAACATACAACCATTTGTCCAACGAATCTTTACACACGTTTCTCAAAGGTGCTCAAGACTGTTCAACAGAAAAAAGATGGCTACGGCCATATCACGATGAATGCACCTCATCCCGTCCGATTTGAGAAGTTAAGCATCGTCGAGCTGCATCAGTACTGAGGTTGGAGACAACTTGGGAACCCTTTTTTCTTTTTTGAAAACTTGATCTCAACGAAATGCACTTGTCGTGGAATTATTGTTGAACACATTACAAATCTGGAACTGCAGTGCTGTAGCCTTTTATTCTTGCCTACGAACAATCCACCTTAATATGAATTGTCATATCGTTTTCACATTGGACCATGAACCATGTTACCAAGCATTTCATCTGATTTCTCTAATCCATTGTTAGTAGTTAACCCATGAAAATGGATTCTTTTGTTCAGCTGATTCATGAGATCCACGTACACTTTGTTTGATCGAAAGTATTAATATTGAGAAAATGTGAATCATAATAAATTATTGGTAATATTTTGGTGTACACTGTGTCTAGTGTCGTTCAACATTAACAAAATTCACATTTGGACGCATAGGTAATGATTTTGCTTAAATTACTCAGAAAATATAGACAAGAATTGTTCTTTGGAAATTGTTCCAGTCTTTGCAAAATCAATTTCATAAAACATTTCTTCAAATACATGTGTTGGTAAATACTCTCCAACCTTTTCCATCGAGTTTCTTAACGATTCCATGGTCATATATCCAGGTTTGGTTTTGTCCTCAAAAATCACAAATAATTCATTCAAATCTTTAAAGAGTTGTTGTTGATTTTGCTTGGTACCTTCTTCATCATCATTGATCGCGTCCAATTCCTTATTTTGTAGCTCAATAGTTCTTAATCGTTCTTCCACATCTGGAAATTCTCTCTGTACTGCATAGGCCACGAAGGCAATAAACTCTGGCAAGTCAAAGGCATATCGATATTCCACATATTGATTTGCTTTTTTCAATTTTCGTTTGGAGAGGAGAGGAGATTTTGCATCTTGCGCTCCAGGTAAACTAGACATTGATGTGGGCGTAGTAGTGGACGTTGCAGTAGTAATTTCTTGATCTGCTTCTTGTTGCTTGGAGGATTCCGATAACACAATTTCATTATTTTGGAAATTCTCATCATCATGACTCTCGCCCACACTTTCGTCATCATTAAAATCGGAATTATTATTATTCGTGATGATGGATGAATAGCCTTCATACAAGGAATCTAATACGAAACGATCCAAAGCCTTCACTTCATTGATGAGATCTTCTAAATCACTTGGATCAATTCGCACTCGGAGTGCTTGCAGTACAATTTCTAAATCTTTGGTTGTAACATATCCCTTGTTTTCTGCGTCGAGAAGGGAGAACGCATGTCTGCATTGTTGAACAGTACTCAACGGAAGGGCAAACATATTGTATTCGATCTGCAATGAATTTTTTTGTTTGTGTGTAATAGATGAGATTGTGGAAGATTCCATTTCATAACGTGAAATGGAACAGAGAATGGACGTGACAACTGTTACACATAGTGCTGAACTCAATGCTGCCAAATTGAGATAACAAAACAAAAATTAAGGCAGTGTAACTTGAATTTAGAAGGACCTAGTTGGAGAGATAACCAAATTTCCTGAATCTTGATAAAGGCGCTTTGGGGTAACATCTATGAAGTCAATGTCTCATGACTTAATTCCCAAAAATGCATCGTAATAACAATGTTTCATTCTTTCCTGATACAGTTTCTACTCGCTGGATTACAATTTAAAAGCCAGCTTTTTCTGTCTGACAGCTGTAATTATGATATCTTTATCACATTTCAATTCAGCAGATGCATCCATTTTGATTTGCAGCAGCCAGGACGACATCACGATCTCTTGTGATTGCTTCAGAGACCAATCGTAACGCCAAGCCATATTGCTGAACAGCTGCAATTTCTTTGTCATTCTTCAAATCATCAGAAGCAAACAACACTGATTCAGCACTGATTGCTATTCTCGGATTTGGGTTGAAAAATGTTTACGTTTTGTTTTGAAGTAAAAATATCAAATGATTTGTTTATTGCCCTCCCATGTTACAAGTGTTGAAGTTTTGTTTGAAGGAATTCAAAAACTGCTTCTCTGCAACACTCAGAGGTATATTCATGTTTCAAATGTCCTGCACTTCGACATTCACACGTTGTTGCTCCTTGTTCTCGTTTCGGTAGACACAACACATCATTACATGGTTTTTCACTTTCTACCCAATTCACAGCATTTTCCACAATGAACTCACGCACTTGTTCATGACTTGGATCCAATGACAAATTGATCCATGAATCTGTAAATGCAACAGCTCTCACTTTGGAAAGTGTTTCTCGAGTACGGTTTTTCAATAATTCCATCGTACACCAACCACCAGCTGAATGAGCGACAATGACCATGTCTTTTGCTGCTGCTTTTTGAATGAAATGATCCCAAACATACGTTGCATGATCTGATGGAGATTCATGATGAGGAATGGGTTTTTCGATATCTTTCTTTAAGGAGGACTTGTTTCTTGAAAGAAAATCTTCCTTTTTGTATTGGAGATGATCATTCAGTTGTGAAGGAATGTATGTATTTTGATTTGCTAATTTTGGTGATTAAAATAAGATTCAATATTTTGGTGGAAAACATGATCATTCGAAAAGTGTGTATATTACTAATACTTACGATTGAGAACAATCACTCCATAACCTTCTTTCAGGCTTGAACAATATAATTGTATTGAGTTCCAGTTTTTAACGAATCATGCATACCTATGATTGCAATTGGATCATTTTCCATCCAAATGGTCATTCATAATACTTTGATTCAAATTTAGAGTATACTTACACAAACTACGTGACCATTGACCTGCTCGAACACCTCCAGATCCTTGAATCAATATCAACAGCTTGTTTGGATTTGTGAGAGCATCCTTACTCATGAAAATGTTAACCATTTGTTCTTTTGGAAGATTAAAGTCTAAAGGCAACCAAATCTCGTCCAATTTACATCTCTTTCGTTGAATTGATGAAAAATATCATTCTATATTCACTACTGTCACAACAATTCAATAACTTACGTTTTTCAATAATTCCTCCTGTACAAACTTCGTGACCATTTTCGAGAGTGCATCGTTGTGAACATGTGACACAAAATGAAATTTTCCTCCATCCATATCATTGACAAACAAACCAGGCTTCTCATTGCTCAACAATTCCAATGCCTGGATGTATTGAGATGGATCTTGTTCAAACAATTCATCATTAGGTTTTTCAGGCATGTTTGAAAAAGTGTAATGAAAATCTTGTAATCTTTCATGACGATCGGGAATGGTTTGTAATACAAGATTGAATTGTTTTTTCATTTCTTGAGATTCCGAAGCGATTTGTTCAACAATTTCAAATGGAACATAATCCTTGGTAGTGTTTGGAATGGATTGGAATGGAAACTTTGTTTTTCTTCCAAAAATTGTTTCTGAACATGCTGAATGAAAGAGTCTTTTGGGAAAGAATAGGAACCATTGTCAGTCTTGAATGAAATGGTTGACCCCATGATTTGGTTTGAAAATTTTTTGTTGTTGCTAATTTGAGATTTCAGGGTCGTGAATGTTTTTAAAATCTCATGTCAAACGTGTGCTGCTGAACTTTGTTTCGTGTTGTCATTTTAAAAACGTGAGAAAAGTTATGATGCGTGAATCATTATAAGTATCTTGATCATTGTATTTAAAAGGCTCCATCGTATAAGGTTGCTTTTTTAACACCAATCCTTTCACGTTGAAAAAAAATGAACGGATTGCCTGAAGATTTAATCTTCTCCATCATGCTCTTTTGTGAGGATTTGAAAAGTGTTTCTCAATTGTTATTACTGAACCGACATTGGTTGAGCGTGGCTCGTTATGAAGCTCTATGGAGAATGCGGTTTGCGTTTCATTTGAAAAAACAAATCCGAGATCGTCAAGCGGAAATGAATGTACCATCATCCAAAAAGAAGGGACTTGCAGCATTGATACAGAAATTAAAAGGTCAAATGAAAACTCATGTGGAGGAAGCGGAACAGATGTACATGAGAGAAAAGATTGTTTCTCAAAAAAGTTCCGATCATGATGATGAAAATTCGGATGATGAACCCAAGAAGGTATTTTCTGGAGTTGATTTTTATTGCGGATTTCGATTTTATACCATTTTCAAGCAAGAAGTACATGGAAAGTTAGTGGGACAAATCACGTTCAAGCTCCATGAATTGATGGGAGAAAAATTTCAAGCGAACACTTACAAGGTCGTTTTGAACGATACGAATGATTATGTTTTGGTTGAGAAAAGTCCTTTCTGTCAAAAGTGGAAACAATTTTGCGAATATGCTCATTCACATCTAAAACCCTTCTCGAAAGATCATTTCGATCAAGAATACCAATTACAGAAATCATGTTCTGTTAGTTTTATGACTCATTTTCAAAAAGATCATTCTTCAGCCTATTCAGAAGTGGTTTCCATTCTTAGGAAATTCCGTCAGGACACATCATTGGACCCAAAACAACGGTTGGATGCAATGAATGACTTGTTGGTACAGCCCGTGTTAGAACTTATCTCATCTGACAAGTATCGATTTCCTATACATGCATTTCGTATCTTTAATTCAGCATTGGAACTGAACAGTATGACCCTCATGAGAGCGTTAATGAAAGAAATTGAGATGGATATGGTAAGGCCACAACATGAAAAATATTTCTTAAGCTATCCCCAAGATGTTGAAATGATGGATTATGTAAAATCGCAAATAATAACCTTTTTGAAGTTTGGTTATTATCAGCCTGAAGAGATTAGAGAAATACTTTCGTTTTGGATCAAGATGTATCCATCTCTCATACGCAAGCAAAGAATACGCAAAACATTTCACATGCAGAGAAGAGTTTTACTTCTGACTCTGATTTACTAGCTTCCTTTGCAATGTGTGAATCATTTCGCAACGATTATTACTTCCTTTCAACGAACAAATTTTCTTATCGGCTGTTAAAGATGGTCATACAAGATTGGAAATTCAAAATGTCAACGCATTTGGCAGCTTCTCTGTTCAGAAACATTTATCATTTGACGCAAAATGGGTTCACGATCACTGAACTCATTGATATTATAGAAACGTATGAAAAAGTTCATGAAGAGAATTTAATTGATGATGAAATTGCACAGATATGTATTCTTTCAAACTCCAACTTGGACTTGTGGAAATATTGTATTGATGTTCGTCAAGGTAACATTAACAATATGAATACTGATACATGTACAGGTATTCCAATCATTTATGAATGCTTACAGTCTACTAAAAGTAGTCTCTACGACCTGGATCTATTTGAATATTTAATTGAAAAAGTGGATGTAGTTTTTGACAAGAAAGCAGCTGTGCAATTGAAAGTGGATGCCTTGCATCATTACATGGTCCGCTTGATGTCTAAACTATATAATTTGCAACACTCGACAGAAAATCATAGATGGACAAAGATATTTCTCACACTATTTAGTAAGGGATCTAGAGTTTCAGAGAAAATCAACGAAAGAACAGCTGTGGATCTCATGAATCAATATTCTCCGTATTTAGATGATTTTTCTGAAATAATAAATAATCAATTGAGGCGAGAGCAAGAGGATCAGAAGTCATCAAGTGTATATATTTCATTAATTTAATTAAACAACAGCTACTAGTTCAGAAACTTGAGTTTATTTCTCCAACAATATCTCAGTTGGATTACTTCACCGACAATTGCATAAACTAAAATATTTCTGCCATGTATTTCAAGCGTGCTGACAATTTAAAGACAAGGAATAAACTCACTATGCAATTTTTTAACTACTATTAAACTAAATATGATTTTTGAAGTATCTCAATAATATGACACCAAGCAAGAAAAAAGGCATGCTTGAAAAAGATTTTGACTGTTACTGATCAAAGCTTTTGGTTAAAAACTGGGTTGAATAGGAGTCCACCTTAGGCAATGCAAAGTTGTCATTAATATTCCAACTCATAATACCTCTCGACTCTCATCAAATTTTGCTCTAAATAGATGGCCTTATATGTATACGTTCTCACACAACCACCGGCATTGAATAACATAGGAAGCCACAAGAAATGCTCGTATCGATCGTCCAAATAATCATACCAGCAATACGTTGTTTTTGTGACAGTAGTGTCACCACACGTACTAGAACAAGTATCATTTTCTGCAAGCTCTATTCTGTCACCTTCCTGCTCAGAAGAGGTATTCTCTGAAAAATATTCATCCATGTATTCAAAAAAGCAAAATGGCTTCGCATGACTTGAATCTTCAATATTGGGCGATATTGACATTCGACAATCCCTTGTGTCATTTAACGAAATGGACATTAGGTCCCTCAACTTCTTTGTTCCTGATTCAGGAAACAGTTGTGAAATACAAAATGCAGCAACCGAAATGGTTGTTGATTTTTTCACTTGCCAAGTTTTGTCATTGTCATCATATTCAAATGAAGAAAGAATGAGCTTATCATTCCATGGATTTGGAGTGCAATGAGAACCACTACTTAAAATCGATAATAGTGTTGCAATTTTTGCATACATGTATTTCCAACCATATTGAAGGACTCTCTTACGTTGTGCGTATTCGCTAAACCAAGCCGCTTGTTCGTCTTCATTTTGGTAATCTTCGGAACAATCTTGAATTGCGTACTCTAGATTGAATGGGTCTAAAGGTATAACATGGAAATCAAAAGAGTCCTGTAGTTGGCTCCATTTATATTGCATGCTTTTCTCTTTTCCCATAATGGTAAATGATTTAACAATTGGTATTCTGAACAAGGCTCGAAACATGTCATACCAATAATATTCATTTCTACAAATTCCATCATGATCGGAATTGTTATCTGATTGATATACTTCATCAACATGATGATCGGAAGAATGAGGATGGGCCTTCTCCCTACAACGTTCCAATTCCAAATTCCATTCAAACACATCATTCATCAAAATAGAATTACAAAAATACTTCCACAATGCATTGCAACAAGCCACTTGTTTCCACCTCTGACTCACTCTCACACATGAATTTAAAATACTTTGGGGATCCAAAAATTGAAAAATTGAAAATAATTCATCATTTCCACACTCGAGAGATGATTTCATTTTTTTTTTTAGTGTTTCACTGAAATTATTGTTGGACTTGCAACTTGGAAATTAATGCTATCGTTCAAGCAACGAACGTTCTGTGGCTGTCAAGTGTTCAAAATAGCTTGTTGCTTTTTGAAAATATTTATTTGTTGGTTGTTGTAAAAACGCATTACAGACACATGATTGCTGAGATTCATACTTTCAAACTTGAAATTTTGAGAGATTGTCAGAGTTTTGGCTTGGTGCGATTGTAAACACCAATTCCTCGTTCACATGGAAATTTATCAAAAAAAATATTTTTAATAACAAGATTCAAACCATCATCATCAATGCTTTCAGATACTTCCTTCCGAGATACTGTATTGCTCTCTTCTCATACCAACATTCTTCAACTCAACAATTTAGGAGCTGAATGTTTACAACAAGGTGAACTCGAGAGTGCCATCTCACATTTCACTCAAGCTCTGCAACTCGTTGAACACGAATTATTAACAATGACCAACTCTCCTCCGAAAACGAAAGAACCGTTGAAAGATTATGAATCCGAGAGATTGTCCTCATTGAAATCTCTGGCTGCTACTTGTCATTGTAATCTTGGAAGTGTCTATTTAAATTCGCAACACATCACTCTTGCTTTGGACCATTACAACAAGGCACTCGAATTAAAACCTGATTATTCTGAAGCGTATGGAAATCGTGGATTAATTTATTTTCGAATGTTAGGAGGTATGAACAAGCCATTCAAGACTTTTCCAAAGCTTTGGAATTCGATCCTCAAGATCACGTGAATGTTTACAATCGAGGATGTGTGTGGCGTCGATTGGGAGAATACGAAAAGGCAATTTTGGATTTTACAACAGCCATGGAACATGAGGGAAATTCTTCACCTCAGCATGCTTGGTTACTGCGTGCTGGAACTTATTTGGATATGAATTTGTATGAACAGGCCATTCAAGATTGTGATGGAATTATTGAGAAATTTAAAACTATGGAAAAAGAGAGTGAACAACAAAATTTTGACATTGTGTCAGTTATTACGGTACGAGGAAAGGCACTGTTTGCGAGTGAGCAATTTTTGAATGCTTTGGACGATTTCGAACGTGTTGTGAAAATGGATCCAGAAAATGTTACGGCATGGACATATTTATCTAAATTATACCAACAAGCTCACTATTTCGATTTGGCATTTGACGTCTTGTGTAAAATTTCCCAATTAGAAGGAGGTGCCTCTTTACAAAATTTGCATGAACGTGCCATTTGTTTGCAACAATTGAAACAATTCGACGAGGCTATTCGATATTTCAATTCTCTACTCGAATATTGTCAGAAAATTATGTTGCAAGAGAATTCGGAAGAAATGAAACATCTTTATGAAATGGTGTTGTATCGAAGAGGATGTTGTTTTATTGAAACAGGAAATCATGAATTGGCTTTGAAGGATTTTGAAAAAGTCTTGATGAGGGAAACCAACATGGAAAATTTGTATCCATCAAGAAATGGAGAAGAATGGAGAGAACAAGCTTTGAAAATGAAGATGGAATGTGAAAAGCAATTGAGGTTGAATGAAAGTGAAAAGCCATGAATTGCACAAGTGCACTCCCGTTCTGCAGAACTCACATATTGTCCGTTGTTCCCAAATACGCATCATGATAACATTGTTTCATTCGCTCTCGATACCATTCGTCACTGTAGTTCAATACATAACCATTGCATTTGAATGCTTCCATCACAAGTTCTAAATCTTTTTGTAACGTGTCGCTGGCATAAAATAATACACTTCCATCCTTCTTGACTGCTTCTAACATGATTTCTCGGCTGGAAAACGAATTTCCAATCCCAATAGCGCTAAAACTATTGAGCTCGACCGCTTTTAACATAAATTCCTTGTCGTTGGCCAACTCATTTGGTACTTGTCTTGTGTTACAACCTCTCTTGATCACCTCCAACAAGAATTGTTTGTTACTCAAAAGATCTTTCGAAGCATATTTAAAAGCCAACCTATCTTTCTTGATCGCTTCCAGAACAATGTCTGGATCATTTCTCAATGTTTCGTCAGCATATTCAAGAGCTGAACCATCGTTTCTTACTGCTTCCAACACAACTTGGGGGTCTTTTTTTAACGAACTGGCTGCGTATTCAAGAGCAGATCCCACTCTCTTAACTGCTGCCAACACAATCTCCTTGTCACCCTTAAACACACTACTCACGAAATCTAGAGAACAACAGTTACAGGATACAACACGTAAAATAAAACTCTTGTCTCCCTGCAAATCAGAGGACGCGTATTGCAGTGCAGACCCTTTTCGTCGTATTGATTCGAGTACAATTTCTCTGTCATTCTTCAAGTCATCAGAAGCAAACGCAAGGGCATGGCCATTATTTCGAACTGCATTTAACACCACATCTCGATCATTCTTGAGGTCATCACTAGCAAATTCAAGTAACAATCCAGATTCTTGAACCAGTTTTAACATGATTTCTTTGTTGGCCTTAAAAGAATCAAGGGTCTCCAATTCTGGAAAAGTTTCTTTCACAGTTTCAAGCATGAAATTACGATTTTCACGAAAATGGTTTGGTACAAATTCAAGTGCCTTAATATTTTGTTTAACAGCTTCAAATATAATTTCATTGAAATCTTGAAGCTCAGACTTTCCTAGAATAGGACAACACCAAAATGATTCTCTTAATACTTCACCATTCTGCTTTGCAGCAGCTAACACAATGTCTCTGTCACTGTTCACTTTACTAATAGCTCTCAAAGCTTTTCCATTCTGCTGAACTGCTTGCAACAAAAATTCTTTATCATTCTTTAGAACATCAGAGGCAAATGACCACGCATTTTCATATTCCTTTATCGCTGCTAATACCACTTCTTTATCATTTCTGCAATTGTCTCCTGCACATCCAAGTTCTCGTCCATTGAGTTGCACTACTCTCAACACAAAATCTCTGTCTTCCTGTAAAGTCCTACTTGCATATTCCAATCCAAAACCACACTTTTTAATGTAATTCAACACAAATTCCTTATCATTCATAAACTCGACTGGAATGAATCGTTCATATTTCAATTCTCTGTTTTCAAGCCATTTCTTCTTTCCTAATTGTTGCAATGAGAATTTCTTTTTCAATAATAATTCCAATCTCCGACTTTCAAGTTGATCTTCATCAAACATAGAACTTGAAAAATCCTCAAGAATCAAGCAAACGAGGGACATCAATTTTTGGTTCTTGTTTTTTCGGAGGATCTCTGCTTGATGATCATCGGAACAAAGTCTCTCTTGCTGCACCATTTTTTTTTGGAGGAAGTTTTTAAGGAGCACTTTTTATACTCTCAATGATCTATCTATGGAAGTGTGTTCTCTTTGAGGCCCTTAAACGTTTCCTTAAAGGAAAATAATGGAAGGACGAATCTAGAAAAATTGATTGAGCGTTTGGAAATGAGGTTGTGAACGAAAACCTAAAAGCAAGAAGCCTGTTATTACTCTGAGATATATTTGGGGGAAAGAATTAACCAGCTCCTCGTTTTGTTCATGTCATTACCGAATTCCTACCAGGAACCAGAGGATAGATGAGTGAGCTTTAACAACTCTTCGTTCATCTTGAGACGTGGCAGCTGTCAAACAATCAAAAAAAAAATGAACAAGAACAACTTGCTGCAGCGTCGATTTTTCTTATTCATTCTTGGCATCATCTTCATCGTCATGACATCTCTTCTCTTCTACTCGTCCGAGTTGTTTCATTCCGATTTTATGAAAAAATTCAAAAATTCAAATGAAATTCATCACTCATCATTGGATCATTTTCTCAAATCAATTCTTCCTACTTTATTTACCACTCCAATCGGATTAGATTTATATCTGATAGGAGATGAAATGGAATTTTATAACTTTTCACAATTATTGACCAAACATTTTGGAGCACTTTTTGAAGCTCAACAATTTCCAAATGTGTTTTTAGGAATTTTAGTGAAAAATTCTACAATGTTGCGAACGGGATCAATGAATGCTGAAAGGACTGGATTTTTAGTGGAAGCTCTTAGGAGAATTCCAAATTTGAAAGGATGGATGATTTTACATGATCGAGAAAATTCTAATGATTTATTGCAACATGCAGCTGTCATGTTTCAACATTTGGATGCGAACAGTGAGAATAGAGACAACAAGAGTCAACTTTTCAAGACCAAAACTCGTGACATGATTGCAGTTATGAAGGCGAATGTCATTGTCAATAATTTTCCAAATATTCGAAAAAATGTTAGAATGATTCATTTTGAAAAATTGAATAACTATTTGAACCACAACCAGCATGATGATACGAGAATCAATACACATGTATTACCACCCTTTCCTACGTTAAAAATTGAAAATTTAAATGTGGGAAGAATTTGGTACGGAACTGTGAAATATTCAAAGAAACCTTTTTTATATTTTGCAAGTTATCACGAGATGGCGATGATATTTAATGAATTGTTGTCCTCTCCCAGAGTGTTCATGAATACGAGTATTAGTGACATTTCAGATAAAATTTTAGACAAGTATGGAATTCATGTCATGCCAGATGACAGATTTGAGGCATCGGAATTGAAGACACTTGTCGTCAAACCTGGCCATCTAACACATCATCAATTCCATAGTGATTATTGACGGAATCAAGAAAGAACTTGCTGTGAATTCTTTATTGGATTTACAGAAATTTGAACAACAGCGTATCAACATTTGTGATTATTTCATGAAAACTCAAGCATTTCAAAGACAAGCGTGAAAATTGCATGAAAGCCATCTATGCATAATCAATCTCGTAGTGCTTTTCAATTCTCATCAAATTCTGCTCTAAATAGATGGATTTAAATTTGTAAGTCCTCAAACGACCTCCCGCATTAAATAGAATAGGAAGCCAAAAGAAATGCTCGTATCGATCGTCCCAAGAATCGTACCAACAAAATTGCGCTGTTTTGATGACTTCGTAACTACTATTAACAATAGTTTCTGGGTTTTCCAATTGTTGAACTGTGTCATGTTCCATGCTGTTTCAAAATATTGATCCATGTATTCAAAAAAACAAAATGGCTTGACATGACTGGAATCTTCAATAGGTGGAGCAATGGACATTAGTAAGTTGTTGCTTTGTGGAGAACGTGATGTAACTAGTTGTCTCAATTTCATTGTACCCAATCCAGGAAACATTTGGCAAACACAAAATGCAGCCACTGATATGGTTGTTGTTCTTTTCACTTGCCACGTGTTGTTTTTGTCGTCAAATTCAAATAAACTCAGAAAGAGCTTATCATTCCATGGGTTTGGAGTGCAATGGGAACCACTACTTAAAATCGTCAATAGGGCTGCAATTTTTGCAAGCACATATTGCTGTGAGATTTGATATCGATCGAACTCGTTTGTTGACAGAATTTGTCTGGAATATTCATGTTCATCTTGTTCTTGAACTGAATACTCTTCCACAACATTATTGCCGTGCTGCGGAGTTTTCATTCTTTCTAACCATTCATAACTTGATGGTGGAACAAGGAAATCATAATATTCTTCTAATTGAGTCCTTGAGTTCCAGTTACTGGAACACTCAATTGAGCATGATTTAAAAATTGGTATTCTGAACATTATATAATGAAACACGTTATACCAATAATAGTCATCCATTTGATTTCCATCATTATGGACATCATTCCAATCATCATTTTGATAGTAGGAACCATAACGTTCCAATTCCAAATTCCATTCAAAAACATCATTCATCAAAATAGAATTACAAAAATACTTCCACAATGCATTGCAACAAGCCACTTGTTTCCACCTCTGACTCACTCTCACACATGAATTTAAAATACTTTGGGGATCCAAAAATTGAAAAATTGAAAATAATTCATCATTTCCACACTCAACTGATGATTTCATTTTTTTGTAATTAAAAAAAAAATATTAACTACATCAAGAGCTACTCCATCCCGAAGAGTTCAGCAAAGAGGAATACTGATACAGATGAGAATTAATGATGGAAATGTAAAGGTGGTTGTACTTGATTTTTTAACTCTTAACGAGCATGATGATGACGACCAAAATTCTATTCATATTATTCGGAGATTGGAATTATTATTGAATAAGAAATTCTCATTGCAACAATTAGGAAAGAAGAAATGGCTCGAGAATAGAGATTTGAAATACCAGAATTGCATTCCTGTTGAGTTTATGAACGATCGGCAATTTATTTTGAATCACATTAAAAAGTTTGGCTATGGCTGGAAATATGCATCCACCAAGTTACAAGAAGACCGAGAGTTTCTATTGAATGTAGCTCAATACAATGGATCAAAGGAATTACTATTAATATTTCCAACTTACAGTATTGGGAACGATACTGAATTAATATTGACTTCCGTAAAGCATGACGAAGAGGTAATGAATTCCGTTCCAACTGTGCTACGAAAAAATAAGGAGTTTATGTTGAAAGTAGTTCAGTTGAATGGAAAAGCGCTGTCCTATGCAGAACTACCTCTTAAGAATGATCTTGACATTGTATTAGCTGCTGTGAGACAAAATGGTGAAGCACTGAGATGTATTTATGTTGACCCAACCTGTTGTTTGAGATCAAATAAGGACGTAATTTTAGAAGCGATCAAACAAAATAAGAAGGCACTTCAATGGGTTCCAATGAATTTACTCACAGATCTTTCTTTCATGTTGAAAGTTGTTACATTAATTTTTCCTGAATTCGAAGGATTGAAGGTGTTTAACTATTCCAACAAACAAGTCATGTTGAAACTTGTTCAAGAATGTGGATTTTTACTTCAGTTTGCAAGTGAAGAGCTAAGAATGATCGAGATGTTGTGAGAAATGCTGTTCAGCATAATGCTTGTTCAATTAAGTTTGCCTCCGATGATTTGAAGAATGACAAGGATATTGCGCTTGTTGCCGTTAAGAAAGATGGTAATGCATTGAATTTTGTCTCTGCAGCATTGAAAAGTGATTATGATGTGGTATTAGCTGCTGTTAGACAATATGAGCATGCCCTTGTTTATGCCTCCAATGATTTGAGAAATGACAAAGAAATTGTATTAGAGGCTATTAGGAAATATGGTTCTGCTCTTTGTTTTGCATCGGATGAGTTGAAAAAGGATCGAGAGATTGTTTTGGAAGCAGCTCAAGAGATGGTTTGCGCTTGATTATGCTGATAAGATTTTTCAAAATGATCGAGAAATAGTTTTTGAAGCAATCAATGAAAACAAGGAGGCTTTTTTCTACGCTTCAGAGAGTGGACTTTTAAATGACAAACAATTCCTATTAGAGGTGATCAAGATGGGATGTGAGGATATTATGTCACTTTTACCAGAAGAATTTACAAATGACAAAGAATTTATTCTGCAAGCAGTCAAACTTAACAGTCTTGGAGTTATTGGACGCATTATCGTTCTTCCCGAGAAATAATGTTAGAGTGACATGTCTGATGCAGTGAATAACACAATGAGATTACATCATATGATGAATAGTACGGCAAGTTGCAAGAATTACAACAAGAATTCAGAGACAATTGTGATGGTAGGCATCATTGAAATGCACGTGGTTATGTTTAATAATCATACTACTTTACCACAACAATCACAACAACTACCTTCGGATGAAATTCAACAAACAAAATCATCGGAGCAACAAATCATCATACTGTCACAAGATGAGCTGCGGAACTTTAAAGAATTACGCAACAATATCATATTAAAACATTGAAGGAATCTGCTGAGCGTTAAAAAACTGAACAGTTCTACGAACAATAATTCATCAGCCGAAACCAAGGAATCCAAGAAAAGGAAGAAATCAATGACATCACATAGATTAATAGAGAAATCAAAAAAAAGAAAAAATCAAATGTTTGAGAAGAATGCAACAAGAAGTTTGCAAGGAATATAAATTGATATACATTTATTCTGTGACGTGTGTCAGATTCCCTCAAGCTAGTGCTCTCATTGGTTTCCTGCGGTCAAGTGCTAACGCGCTTCTTCAGGTTCAGCCCCGAGTCTAAAAGACTGGCTTCGATAATCTGACACAAGTCACACCTAAAAACTTTTTTTTAATGCCAAATGTACGTCATAGCTGAAGAATTACTAACAAGATTCAGAAATTGTGATGGAGGCACTTAAATGCAGTGGTTATGTTTTGAAGTACAACGATGAATTATATCAAGCGAGAATGACTCATTACTATCACGATGCTTATTTAGGAAGCAGTATTTTGTGATGCAGTTGCTCTATCACCAATCTGTGCGTGTGTTGGAACAAAGAATATTAGAGCATTTTGTTTGGGTCGAAGGGTTGTTGAAAACTGCCCATTCCAACTTTCGGTGGAAAAGCACTGTTTACAATTCAGGGCTAGTTCAATAACCCCACGAAACTCTCAATAAAAAATGCGCCGTTTTCATATTTTCAATCAACAAAAAATTCTTGCGTTAAATTTATGGAACAATGAAAAGATTAACCATCAAGGATTAAATTCCCGCAGAAAAAACAGGCGGAAGAAATAGCACACAATTTTTAGTCCACTAATTGATAGATTTATTGTTGGGTATGGACAAATTCAACCACAAATCCAACATGTTTACGCTTTACAATTTCAACTCAATTTTTGCTCAATCCTGCAGAAAAACTCTAAATTTATGTAAAATCGTTCCAGTCTGTATTTAATGTTCCAATAACGCAACGTTTGATTGTATGCGTTTCGTATTGGCTAAGGGTAAGAATACGTGTCATTTTCCCAAATAAGAATTATAATAACAGTGCTTCATTCGTTCTTGATATAATTCATCGCTATACTCCAAAACATATCCATTGCATTTAAGTGCCTCCATCACCATTTCTGTGTCGTGTCGTATTTCTTCACTTGCGTAAAACAATGCAAATCCGTTATTCTTCACTGCCTCTGACATAATGTCTCTGTCATAAGTAACAGTATAATCCATTCCAATAGCACAAAGACTGTGAATATTGACAGCTTTTAACATAAATTCCTTGTCATTGACAATGTCTTCTGGTACTTGTACAAGTGTTGTGTTACAACCTCTCTTGATCGCCTCCAATAAGAATTGTTTGTCACTCAAAAGATCACTCGATGCATATTGAAAAGCATTCATATCTTGGGTGATGGCTTCCAGAACAATTTCTTGATCATTTCTCAATGTATCATCAGCATATTCAAGAGCTGAGCCATCGTTTCTAACTGCTTCCAACACAACGTGTGGATCTTTTTTTAACGAACTGGATGCATATTCAAGAGCCGATCCATCTTGCTTGATTGCTGTTAAAACGACCTCCTTATCGCTTTTCAACTCATCGGATGCATATTGTAGTGACAGTTCGTTTTGAGTGACAGCAGCCAACACAACCTCCCTATGATTCTTTAATTCTGTCGAGACAAATTCTAATGCATTACCATTTTGTTGAACGGCCACAAGTGCAACTTCTCTGTCATTCTTCAAATGATTAGAGGCAAACTTAATTGAGCAACCATCATTTCTGACTGCAATCAAAACAATGTCACGATCATTCTTGAGTTCATCAGTTGCTAATTGAAGTAACAATCCACATTCTTGAACTAGTTTGAGTAAGATTTCTTTTTTTGAATAATCCAAAGAGTTTAAATTCTGGAATTCTGGAACAATTAATTTGATGGTATTCAGCATCAACTCATGATCATTCATAACTTCTTCGAGTAAGTCATGTTGAACCCATTGAAGCGCGTGCTTATTGTGTTTGACGGCTTCAACAACCATTTCCTTGTCACTTTCCAAATTTTCCGTGCGAAAATAACACAAAACTTCACTATTTTGTCTTACAGCAGCTAATACAATGTCTCTGTCTTCCAAGAATGTTCTGTCAATAATATTCGTAATTGCTTTTCCATTCTGTTGAACTGCTTTCATCAAAAATTCCTTGTCATTTTGAAGTTTAGTTGCAGCATAAACCAATGCCTGTTCGTCCTGTTTTATGGCTGTCAATACCACTTCTTGGTCATTGCAAATATCTTCACTTGCAAATACTAATAAAGCTCCATGCTGTTGCACAGCTTGAAACATAAAATTTCTGTCTTCGTGGAGACTTGTTGTTGCATATTGTAATCCATATCCATACTTTTTAATGTGATTCAACACAAACTCTTTGTCTTGTATAAATTCAACAGGAAAGAAATTCCGGTATTTCAGTTCCCTATTTTCAAGCCATTTCTTCTTTCCTAATTGTTGCAATGAGAATTTATGTTTCAGTAATAATTCCAATCTCCGAACATGTGGTTCAAAATTATTATTTTCATCATCATGATGACGAAACGATAAATTTGAAAAAAAATCAGTTACAATCAAAGTTACATGCTCATCATTTCCGATCTGTATCATTGCTTCTTGTTTCATGTGTAACGTCTCGCTCGTTTCACCACCATTGAAATCATTGAAAAGGGTATTTTGGTCGAGTGGGATCATTTTTTTTCATTCAACAATAGGCAATTATATGAATATATAAAAAAAATTGTTCAAACAATGTATTATTAACGTTTTTAAGACCAGACGTATGGGAGATTAATTCGAAAGGGATATTCACAGTTTTTCAACGGCTGATATATTCTTAATTATGGTTTGGGAACAATTATAGGATTATATGTCAGATTTGAAGATGAACTTGGAAATACAGAGCTTGTTGTCCATATATTTTCTACACACACATTCAACATTCCATCTCCCAATTTTTCCACACTATCCTAACAACTCAGTACTCGGATCATTACTCCAATTTATTTCGGAATGGAATGTGGTCGAATAATTGGTATACAAGTTCCCTCTTCCGATTCCACTCCAGTCTTGACTCCATACAGACCTGTGCCCAACATGAGCAGCATCATGAGAAGAATACTCTCAGTAGTTTTAAACGAAACTTGATCCTTTGGAAGGCAATGAACGAAACCCAAGTACGAAATGACACAACCCATGACACTCCCAAGACCCATGGAATAACCTTGATCCCGAAAGAGCCAAATTCCTCCAGCGCCAGCGAAATGGCCACAATAATAAGAAACGAAAGGACAGAGTAATGGAAGTGGAATTCGGAAGAGGGAATGACCTGATAAATACATGAAAAAGGAATGGCAAGAGGAGAGAAAACCGCCTGCGAGAGCGTATGGGATGGAATGAATGAAGCGTTGATTCATGATGTTTTTTTTGAAGACAGTACCTCCTAAAACAGTTCCAAGTTCCTATGCAAACAGTTGTTCACGATTACAAAAGAAAAAGTTTTGAAAATATTGTAACAAGCAAAAAAATGATTACAGCCTTTGGTGATCTTGAAATAGACCAAGAGGAATTGAATTTGGAACAGCGATGGCATTCACGAGAAAAATTCAACAAGAATTTGAGTGAATATAATGATGATTCCGATACAGAAAATAATTCGACTGGCTTGAAGGAAGCCATTTCTCAGCACTATGCAAACGCGTGTTGTTTGGCCAAAAGATGGATGTATTTGGATCAACAAAAAAAGAAAAATCATGACATGGCTCATCATTATTACGAGGAAGCACTGAACGAGTCATTACTCGTCAAGTTAGATGAAAATGTAAAATATGATATCATGGAGTTCATTCCGACGTATTCCCGATGGTCCTTCTATGCAAAGGGCCAATCTTACTTGGAGGACATTCAATTTCCAATGAGAGAAATTGAAAGGCCATCCCATCTACAACATCGTTTGGATCAGCCTATCGTGACCTTTCACAAAATGAGAGTCATTAGCAAATCCTTTAATCAACGCATGATGAGAAGTATTTTGCGAGTCAAAGAAATAATTTTCAATTTTAAAGATGACAATATTGATTATTTTATTGTGTTATTGAGATTACAGAGATTGTTCAAGGAAGCCGATGAGAAAAAGCTGCCTGTAACAGCGAACAGTGTTTGTTTGTACAGTGAACTATTGCCTCAATTGAGATCTCCTAGCGTCGTTTCTGATACAAACACCCTTGAGAAGCCACTACAATCATTGATACAACAACAACTATCAGGGCTCTCAATGTCATTCGCTAATACCAACTACTCATTACTTAATAACGCATATGCACCTCAATTCGGCTATAATTCATCACTATTTTCAAGTAACATCAATAATTCATTGCTAAACTTTAATCCCTCAACCAAGTCCGCAGAAGAAACAAATGATATCTCGACCATTCCGTTTGACCCAAATGACATTTATGGAGAGAAGGAACATCCCTCCATTTATTCAGAAGGAACCAAACAGAAATATGTGTTGAAGCCATATACATTTACACAATACGAGCGACCATCACAAATCAATGACTATGAATTAATGATTCCCATTCATCACAAGCAACAAAAACTGTTAGCAACAAAATCGACGGAAAAAGCTCCAATTTGTGTAAATCTTGCAGATTTTATTGGAGATAATTTAACGATAGAGCGACTCATTGTTGTTGAAGAGTCCACCCATCTCTCAGCAATAATTCGTCAGTTAAAAAGCCTTAAAAATCTAGATCTTTTCAAACCTGTGAAAGAGCTAGCGAACAACTCTGTAGAACATGTGACTACCCTCAAAACTGCAATAATTCTAAATGAACATATTTTACCCAATCTCAAGAAGGTTGTGAAGTTTAGACCTGTGCATGAATTGGCATTTATAGTGGGTCATGAATTCATTCCCACTGAAGAGAAAGAGTTTTGTCAACTTGGTGAATATTTCAAACAACTCACTCCGAGTATTTGTGTAAGACTCATGGAAATATTTTTGAATATTAACACAGATTCCAGTGGTACGTCGATTTCTTCAACAGTTGGCTTGGCTACCTCGCTTTTCCAAACATCTCCTAACAAGATGAATGAAGCTAGAGAATTGCTGGATTTCATGCTACAGGAAAGACATGTACCTTGTGAAAGTTTTGTGATTCGTAATATTGAGCCTTATTCCCAAACTTGTCAATGCTTGTTACAATATTTTGTGTATATTTGCAACGAGTATCAAAATGGACGATTATTTCACATGACCTTTACCTCTCATACCAATGTTATGCTCGCTATTAGCTTTGGATGGAAATTTTGGAACCAATTGCACGAATTACCCTTCTTGTTAGCGAACAGCTCAAAATCGAGCATACTTTTCGAACAAGCATTGCAATTATGCATACCTACCATGAATACCGATTTGCTATTTTCTCTTCTTGTACATTCCGTGTTGGAAGGAAATTCTTCAGACGTGGAAACAATTATTTCTTCGTATTTGGTAATGAATGTCTCATGAAAATTATGAGTAGAAAGGTAGTATGTTCTGCAACTGTTTCTATGGGAAGTGAAGCCAATCGAGTTCACATGCCACTGCTTGAGGAAACAACTTGCATTCATGCTCAGTAGAGAACTTAATCTTATTGGTAGCGATCAGCTTGTTCTTTAGATCAATATCATTAACCTGATCAGCATTGATTCGAGTTTTTCTAGAATTATGCATGACAATACATTCTAGTAGCTTCATGATGTCGTGTCATTGTGCTGAACATGTTGACAAGTTATGAGTCGTTATAGGTCGCTCATTACCATTTCAGATTATTCAACAAATGTACATCATCTTTGGGAGCATTGTTGCTACAATACTTGATTGACAACATGTCCATTGAAGAATTTGAAAATATAATGGTGACAGAAAAAGGAGATAATATTTTGCACATTTTCCTGAAATCAAAATCTGCTTTGGATGGAAATACAATGGACGGAGGCATCTTGTTGTGGAAGCTCTTCAAGAAATCCCCAAAACTCGCAATCATGGCCAATGACAACCAAAAGACACCGTTGGATATTTTACTTGCGAGTAAGGAAGGAAAACGTTTTCAAAAAATGCTCAAAATGGAATTTCCTCAACTAGTTCAATAACTGTTTCGTGACAAGTATCATAGAATACAAATTTTACAAAAGATTTTAATGTACAATATTGAATGATTAGGCTTGATCCACTGCCTGATCTTGTGTCGCAACAGGTTGTTCCTTCTTTTCCACAACTGGAGATGTACTTGTGCTGCTAGTTCCCACCGATTTGCGAACAGGTTTAGGACTTGACACTTCTTGGGAAAAGATGGCTGTTCTCATTTCCTCACTCCACACCAATGGTTTACTAGTACAATCTCGAGGATCCATATATAGATTCAAATTCTTGGTTGATTCCACTTCTCCCATCACGAAATTCCAAATGGCTTCTGATTTTGGAGGTGCAGATTCTTTTTGTTTTTCCTTCGATTGCATGTAATACATGAACATGTCATTATCTTGGAAAGTATACGCAAGAATGGCACACGATAGGCATATTGAGGATTCTGCTCGTGACGTTCACACAGTAAGGCCTTCATGGGTGCGCTATTGGTCACATAGAACACTCCACATTTATCGGTATTTGTGACGAGTGGGTTCAATTCCTGAGATGACTCGACGAGTTTTGGTAAAATTTCACTCTGAAGGGCTCTCTCGATCAAATCCAATTGTTCCTTTGAGACATCTTGGACACTTGTCGATCGAGTCATGTTAATGATCATATAAGCTGGATAGGTTTCCTTACTCTTTGCATGTTGAGCATATTTACATTTCCATAATTGGAATGTCAAGTCATTCACTGGATCGACATAACATCCTTCAAAGTTTGGATGATTGAAGACATGGCTCAAATCATCGAGCATGAAATTTCCAGCGCCATACAATCCTCTCATGAACGAGTCATATTCTTCCACAGTTTCGATTCTTCTTATGGAATGGAATTGATCGTTCGAATCCATCTTCAACAAGGGTACATTCACACCAATGAAGTTCATTCGAAAACGAGAAGGAATCAATCCAGTCTTTTCCACAAATCCCAAACAACGAGTATTTTCCTCAAAGACATGCGCATAGAAATAACGAACACCTAATTCCTTCAACATGTGCAAATGCAGGAACCATGGAATTAATTTAGCTTCATGGACAGCACGAAATTTTGGAGGAACCCAACCAGATCCAGTCACACCTGTTCTGGTTTTAACGCCGTCCACAACGACAGTCTTGACGCAGAATGCAAGAGTTCCCAGGACTTCGTATTGCATGGAAGGAGTTGAATTGTCACACAATGGAAAACTTCCATCGTTGAGAATAACGATGAACATGGTGTAATGAGAAACTTGGTCATCTTGTCCTTGTTGCTTGTGATGAATTGAGAATTGAGACCACCGTTCCACAAAATGATCATGTCCTTTCAACGAAGTGATCAATTCATGTTTTTTGAGGTAATTGAAATATTCATCAAATCCTTCACGAGCTTGCTCGATGAGACACATGGGTTTCCGAAGGAAGGGTTCCTGAGTCGTGCTTACATGATTGGATGGAATTTGATACTCTGACAAAAAAGTATTCAAATACTCGTTCTTTTCGTCGAGAAGGAAAATGATGAGTTTTGGTTTTGAAGGAGCAGAAGCCATGGAAACAGCTGAAGCGAGATTTAACTGCTCATGTGGAATGGCTTCCCATTTGCTATCGAAAGCAATGACTTGGTGTTGACAAAGTTGAAGAGCTTGAGCGCTATTGGTTTTTCTGGCAGCTTCCATTTCAAAGAAATTGGTAGAGCGATTGTTGTATGATACAAGAGAGATCAAGTGAATGCCACAATTAGGGTAGTATTCAAGGGTGTGTCCAAGAGTCTTCTTTACAAGAAGCTGCTGTGAATAGAGGATTTGATAATTTTGTTTTTGATAAGTTCTCTTGGTCGTCAACACACTTTGATACTTAAAAATTTTCCTCCTTCAGATCTTTGTTGAAAGGAAACGATTTTTGACACTTTAAATTGAACAAGCTAGAATCATTTCCTTATCATGCTCAAACCTCGTCTCATTTCATTCAAGTTCAATTTCTGATTGGACCACTCATAGACGAAAGAAAATTTGATCAATAAGTGAGCTTGACTTGTTACATCACAAATAATACCTTGCACAAGGTATTAGGCGAAACCACAGAATGTGATCTTGCTCGAGTTGCAAGGTTGTGCTCAGGGGAACGCATGGCCATTCTCCGAGAGTGTGTGAGATTCTCTGGATAGAAAAAACACACCTCATTCGCTCAGCCACAACATTTGAGCAAACAAAGTTTGTTATCAACACATAATATGTAACAAAGTGTAAAAATGTATTGTTGAAAAGATTTGAACATGGTTCTCATCATTGGGGAGAAAGAAACACTATTGTGAATGTGTTTGAGCATTTTGTGAAGAATTCCACCATTTACGAACTCCAAACGCAGCAAGCAAAACAGCAGGTGCCAAAATCAAAGTCCATCGAAGAAGGTGAGAACCAGTTGTGGTTGTTGAGGAACTATTCAAAGAAACTGCTCGTAACAAGGCATTGGATTGACTTCTTGGAGAGAGTTTGGACCACAGCGAAGTCGAAGGTTGATCAGGTTTGTCTGATGTGACCATGGGTACAGTGCACGATGCGGTGTCTACCACTTTGGATGTTTCTGACATTTGGCGTGGAGGAGATGCGGTCACGACGTTCTTTGCTTCTGAGGAACTTCCAGTTGATGTTTCACTACCATTCGATACAGAAGATGGATTGTTGGTAGATGCTGTCATGGTCTTCTTCTGTTGTCCATTCTTCAACTTGTTCAATTGTTCTCTTGAAACGGATTTTCTAATTTCTTCACTCCAAACCAATGGCTTATTCGTACAATCACGAGGATCTAAAAACAAATTCAAATGTTGAGAATTGTTGCTTGGGCTAGAATTCTTACTCTCACCCATCATGAAATTCCAAATTGGTTCTGAATTTGGAAGAGGTGTGTTCTTTTGACGTTCTTTGGATTGGACATAGAACATGAACATGTCATTATCTTGGAATGTGTATGCAAGAGTGGCATAGGAAAGTTGTGGATTTTGAGAGTGTCTTTCACAAATGAAGGTTCTTAATGGAGCACTGTTGGTCACATATAAGACGCTGCAACGAGAGGTGTCCACATTGACAGGTGGCAGTTCATGACTTTCTGTTTGAACAATCTGAGGAAGAAGATCATTTTGTAAATACTGTTCCATTCTGTCAAATTGCTCATGGGTGAGATCTTCTGCTGAATTGAGCTGTGTCATGTTAATCACCATATAGGCAGGAAGATTTTCACTCGATTTGGTATGAGTGGCATATTTACACTTCCAAATTTGGAATGTGAATTGTTGGTTGGCATCGACGAAACATCCTTTGAAATTTGGATGGTGATACAAGTCGTGCAAGTTATCCAACAAAAAGTTGCCTGTAGTGTACAAGTTTCTCATAAGAGAATCAAACTGATCTTCATTGAGTTTTTGCAATGAAGAATTGGAATTGTCAAATGACGATTGTGGGTTGAGAGGAAGCGTGGCACCAATGAAATTCATTCTGAATCGAGATGGGATCATTCCACTCTTTTCAATGAAACCTAAACTTTTGGCATTATCCTCAAACACATGAGCATAGAAGTATCTATTTGCAAAATGTCAATAATCAAATCATTCACAACTACTGTAATCAAAACTTACCTCACTCCCAACTCCTTAAACATTAACAATTGTAGAAACCATGGAACTAACTTGGCTTCTTGAATGGGTCTAAATTTTGGACGTAACCAACCAGAACCACTTAAACCCATTTTCACTCGTTGACCATCGACAATGACATTCTTGACGCTAAATGCCAAAGTACCTCCTACTTCATATTGATTCGAAGCGTTGGCTTGATCGGTTGAAGGTATGGATCCATCATTCAACACTTTCATATACATGCAATAGTGCGAGTCGTTTGACAACTGATTGTTCGAAGAATTACCATTGATTGAAAATTGAGACCATCGTTCATAGTAATGATCATGAGCTTTCAATGAGGTAATCAATTCATGCTTTTTAAGATAGTGAAAATATTCATCGAAAACCTCTTTCGATTGATCAATTTGTTGAATTTCTTGTTGGAACCAATTTTCGTCAATATTCGACGAGTCGTCAGATGTGGAGAGCTTTGGAACTTCGTCATTATTAGGATGTAACAAGAAGATGACATATTGAGGCTTGTCTGTATCAATGGATTGCTGTTGAGAAGGAGAAGTGGATGTGGATGATTGCTGACAGCCATTCGAAGCATCATTGGCAACATCCAAGTCGTTATTATCCACCTTGTGTGGAATCATATCCCAATTCTTGTTGAATCGAATCACTCGATGCGTCAATAATTCTTGTGCATGAATGTTTGAAAGTTTCAAAACTGCCTCCATGTTGTTGCTGATGTGTGTTGTTGGAAAGTAATGTACAATAAGCTGAACGAGTTGGTTTTTTTCTTCTAGTTGCTTGTTGTTGTTTGGAATGAATACAACACTTTACACGATATTGTGTTGCTGATCAATGTTGTGTGCTTCTTATCGTTTCTACCAGCGTGTGAAATGGAGTGTTGATTTGGAGATCACCTGCTCATTTCCAAGCGTTGTTAAAACGTAATCGATGCACGAGAGGATCACAGAAGAACCGAGAGGAACAAGGCCGCAATTGAGCATAAGTGCACAAAAAAGCCATGTTGCGCCGTGGAATTTTGATCATGCTGGAAATGAGAACGTCAACAATCCTTAAAAGATGAATCACAAATCATTCGTAAGAGAACGAAACTCAGAACTTGGCCGCGGGGTTTCAATCATTGGTTTACTTCATATTTACAATTTCAAAAACAAGATATCTGCATTCTTCTCTACCCTGCCATTCATTCAATTATCTTGATTGGAATTGTATTGGACCATCCTTTCGAATGATCAATTACTTTCTCAAAACCACTCTTCTCAAAAATTGTGAAACTTTTGGAGTCATTCGATAGGTCATGACCAATCGAATAGGTTCCAACAATCGATTCACAATGTAAGCCAACACAAAATTAGCATACTTTTGAGAGGAATCTAACTTTTCCGAATCGCCAATGAATGAACGAAATCCATTTTCACTCAACCATTCCAACACGGCACGAGTCGGTAAAAGACCCTGTTGTAAAATGACAAATAAGAGACCCAATGTTGAAAAGTACATGGAAAAGTAGAGAAATAGGCCCATAAAACCATGTTCTTTGATGAAACGTTTGATTTTACCCAATAGAGAGAGTTTTTCTTCTGTAGAGGCGTTCACACCAGTGGTTACAGAATTGTTATTGAGAGTTTTAGTTGTGGATGTCAAAATGGAAGATTCAGAAGTGATATTGGATTCGGAAGAAGTCGATTGAGTAGTGGCAGTCACAGGATGATTGTTGTTGTTGTTGTTACAAACATGAAAGTTTCGAATGGAAGGATGGCCAAAAACACTTGGAGCTAGAAGAATCTTGTTATGAGAAGCAGTATTTGTGTGGAAGATCAACCGTGAAGAACGGAGAGTGCTCTGGATCATGATGTCAAGGAGGTGTAGGATGGGGTGTGTGGAAAGATTCTTTTTGTTTGTGTGACACAAAGAGGAGGTGGAGTGTACACTGGAGAGAGTTTTCAACTGATCTGATCCAACATGGAAGATATCGAGAGCGAAATGGAACGGATCAACCAGATCTGAAAAAGAACTTCGCGAGATTCAAAAAAATGAAAGTTGGATTCCGAAAATCATCATGTCCTGGATTGGATGACAACAACATCGGGATGATTTCATTCTCAACAACGTAATCCTTACAAATGAATGATATTCCTTATTGAATTATCATACTCAGTGTTATATCACAAAATATTTTTCTTTTTATTTGATGATCGTACGACAACAAGGAGAAAATGTCCACCAAACACGTAAATCTCGCAAAACTGAAAAGTCATCCACTTCATCGTGCATGTATAGATGAAACGGTAATTTTACCAAAACACACCAAAACGAATAGTATCGTTTGAATCAAGGAGGGAAGGATTGATCAAGATATTTTGTCATTCATCATCACGGTGATGATGAGGGAGTATTAAATATGATATAATATTACAACAACCTTTCTTAACAAATCATTCCGACACCACATCCATAACCATATCCATATCCTCCGTGTCCACCATATCCACCATAGTATGGAACGCCATATCCTCCATATCCACCATAATATGGAAGACCATATCCATAACCACCATATAGTGGAGCATAATATGAATTGTACAAGTTATTTCCATACGAACTTGGACCCACAGCATAATTACTATAGGCAGCATATGGAGAATAATTCACTGCATTGACTTGATTGCTGTAAGCTTGAGTATTTTGAGCATATTGATTGTAATTTCCACCTTGAACTCCATAGTTGGAACCTAAACCACCATTGTAGCCGTAGGCACCTGCAACGTTGGAAGCTCCAGTAGCACCACCAAATCCACCATAGAATGGAACGCCTCCATAGTAGCCACCATACAGTGGAACACCTTTAACTTCTTTCTTGTCCTCTCCTGCCATGACAAGGGCGGCCAAGATGAGTGATAGCAATGCAAAGACGAGAATGGATCTATTCATTTCGTTATTGTTGTTGTTGTGGTTACTGTTGACACTGAGTGTTGTTGTAAAGACGAACACGCTTGATGTATTTTAACTTTTTTTTGCTGTTGAAAGTTGGAACTGGAAGCATGTACAAGGATTTTATTTGAATTTTGGGGTATCTTTTATGAAAGTTGTTTTACCTTTTGGACGACAATGACTTTTTATAAGCAAGGATGTTATTCACGAAGAAAATGATTTTTTTTGGAATTTAGATTGTTCAACTGAATTGCCTTAAATGGAGTTCCAACAATTTTATTACAATCCCTTTTTTGAACGTTTAATCTATTGGAATTCAATTTGGTAGTTCGGTATTAGTCAACTGGTAATTTAAATTTTTATTAGAGGAATCACGTGACCTTTCTCCAGTTGTAATTGATTAGAGAAAATACATTGCCGTGTTTGACAATACACTACCACTCCGATGACTTTTTGTCTTGTCACACCCATCATCCTTCCAAACAATAGTTTGATCCGAAAGAACATTCTTCAAACTTTCATTTCCAAAATGCATCAATTTAATCTACGACTTTTACATAGCACAGGAGTAAACTATGATAGGCACAGACACGGTCATTTTGGTGAGAAGATGCTGTATCATGTGAGATGGGCATTGAAAGTTGTTTTCAGTTATTGATGGTATGGATCTAATTATGCAGCGTGACGAGAGCGGATTAGTGTCACACCTCAATGGAATTTTTTAGTTCGATCGTGATTGCTGTCATTGCTGCAATTTTGGGATCTCTATTGATTATTGCAGTGGGCATACGTGTTGGAGTGTTATTCTCTGTTCGAATCGCGAAGTATTTACAATTAATTGAATTATTCGAAAGTGTGGCACATATGGGCTTGGATCGGTTTATTTAGAAGAATAAGGAGATTACCAAAAGAAAGAAGATGAAACCTCACTCGTGTCAAGTTCGGAAAGAGCAAGTGGTAGAAATTCTTTGGAAAGTTCCAAAGCTTCTTCTTCTTCACGTCATCATGGAGCTTCAAGAAAAGTACATTTCCAAAGATAACAAGTTTCAATTATATCTCGAAAAGAGAAGAGTGACATTGGTTCAAGTGTTGTTGGAAGGGTTAAATGAATGGGTTCATTCAATTTCTCCAAATGAAGTGGTACTTTTATTAAGGTAGGTTAAGGAATAATGAGCATGGGTGTTGTGAATTGTGTTTTTTTATTCTCTCAACACAATAATACTAGCGACGTGTATGATCAGTTGAATACGATTTGTCGAGTGAATGGAGCTTCTCAAATTTCTTATCTTGAGAATGATTCTCTGATTATTGCACTGAACGCGACACGAGATCAACAAAAGCATGAAGAAAAGGGAGCTATATTCTGTCACATGTTGAATGAAAAATTATTAGGACTCAAGTACATGAAATGGAGAAATGAGAAATCACAAACTCATGGCGATAGAATGAATTTTAGATTTTCTATTGTCACTCAAGAGGGTCTGTGTGGAAATGTTGGAAGTCAAGATATGAAACAATTTAGTGTGTTGAGCAGTGGAAGGCATAATTTGGGCATGTTGATGGATGTGGCAAAGCATTTGAATGTGAACATGGTTTGTTCTGAACCTGTCAAGAATGGTTGTGCAAAGACATTTAATTTGCGATACATTGACACTCAGAATCTAGTGGATGACATGTTTATCAACAGTTTTGGAAGTGTGGCGAGTGTTTCATGTAATATTCCACAGAGCCAGGTTCACATTTATGAGGTAAGTGTTTTTTTGTAATGGGTTAAGTGTTAATTCACAACACCGAAAGATTGGAGCCAAGCTTCAAGTAGAGAACGATGAATGGATGTATGAATTATCACAAAAGGAAAAGAAGAATGAGTGGAATGAATATAATAATGCAACTCTCTTGTTTTTTGAAACAAGATATCAAGAAGCATTGGAATTGTTTCAAAAGTTTTATCAGTCCAAAACCAATGATAAGCCAACTGAGAATATGATTCAAAGAATCGATTAACGGTCCATAACCGGTCACGATTAAATGCCAGTTTTCAAAACCGGTTATCGATTTTTTTACCGGTAATCGGTTCTTTGTGACCGGTCCAACCATGAACAAACTTGTTTAATCATGAACATAATAAACAATGTTTTTAGTTGTTCTGCAACACTTGTGCTTTTTCAAAAAACAATAGAGTAGCCTTATTATATTCATTCCACTCATTCTTTGTGGCCGGTAATCGATTCCTTGACCGGTAATCGGTTCTTTGACCGGTAATAAAGGGGTCCTGACCTGGTTTACAAAATTTTTTCAAAATCCTTTTTGTTGAAAAATGAACAAAATTGTTAAGTCACTCCTAATTTTGAACCAGGCCCTTGCTTGTCGTGAGTTTAATGAACTATGTAAAATCCAAGTTGTTGAGTTTCACAATTTCCTGTCAGCATCAGTATCTCAACGTCAAAATACTCGAGATTTCCTTAATTTTATGACAAACGAAAAGATCACAGACGATGGCAAGATCATCTTTGCTACAATTCTTTTTGATTTAACAATGTTCTAAACAGGGATGTTGGAATCCATAGAATGGAGCTTAGTATTAGAAACATTTCATCTAGCTGTTTCATCCCCCAAAGATTCATCTTCGTTCCTCAAGTCTTTAGTTGTCGATTGTGATCCTTTAATCCTACAAAAAGGTTACCCCAATGGTTCACTTTGTTTGGCATTAATAATAGACGAGATGGTTGAGTTGAATGAGATATTTAAAGAATTTGGATCGGGAAGCTTGTTTGATTACCCATGTCAAAATTTGAAATGGTTTCTGCAAGAGAAGAATTCTCTCGTTCTGGCTTTGTGTAAATGATCGAAACCCAAAGACATACCAAAAATACTGAAAACACTCGTTAAACGCGCAATGAAACACGGACACGTCAAACACACAAATGAAAGGATGGCTTTGAAATGTTGCACAACCATATACAAACGCTATTTCTCATCCACAAAACATGAAATAGACCTTCCTCTTTGGAAATGTGCTTCGAGTGTTATGTTCAAGACTTTCAAAAGAAAGCATTAGGTTGATCTTTAGGTCAACTTGGAACTGGAAATGTTGGATCTAAAAAACCGTTCTCCACAATGACGGTTCTTGGAAACGAAGTAAATTCCTCATAATTGCGTAAACTCTTTAGAAACGTCCATCCATGCAAAGGTTTTTCTTCTTATTCCTTTTTATCCACTGCTTGATTTGCTTAATTTGGCAGATGTAGACATGATTGTTTTCATCTAATTGGAGAACATAATCACCAATGCTTAAATATTCGGAATTGAGAGTCATTTGTTTCTGGTTTTTCAATTTGTTGTTTGTGATAAGTAATTCCTTCAATGGTGATATGCGTGTTGGATTGTTTGTTTTTGAAATTTTGCAGCAAGTTGTGTGGTTGATGTGTTCTGTTCCATTGCTGCTCCAATTTATCAAATTCCACAATGTCATTATTCGAATATTGTTTCAATTTGAATTCTTTTGTAAGTAAAACTTTAATACCAGGTATATTCAAATTAAACAATAGAGTATGAATGGTTGGAGCTTCATATTCAGTATCTGAAAGCATGGCAAAAGTACGACATGCTCTTTCAAATTCACCAATAACAATATAATTAATATGTTCTGGTGATGGGAAGCAACAATAATACTCATATGGTAATCTTGTGGATTGATCTTTCTCTTTGTTGAATTGTAAGCCAACAATTAAGGCACTTAAAAAATTATTGAGAGCATTCAAGAAATTTTCAGCGTTCAGATTGGTGTTGGAGCCACAATATTGTCGAGCCACTCCATAAAAATTCTCGATCATATATTCTTGCAGTTGAAAAGGTAAAAATACTCTGTTGTTGGGTGATGATTGAACTCTATACATTGTCAAACAAACCGATCATTAATAACAACAATAATGGATAATGACAATTTATCTACCTTGAAGTCGAACTATAAATTGACTCATCATCATCTTCGATGTCAGTATTGTTATGATTTGTTTCTTTTTCTTTGAGGAAGATGCGAACGATTCCACAAAGCTCTTTTGTTATGAACATTTGTTTGACATCATCTTCAGTCATAATCTTGTTTTTACGTGAAATCTTTGGTTTGGATTATCATTTTCGGGTTGCATTCGGAAAGAAATCACTGCTTTGATGATGGATTTTGGAAGTGCAAATGACATGATCTCTTCATCATCAAATAAAAGACTTTAGAACAAGCAATGCTTCTGATAGCATTTTCTTCAAAAATACGAATTACTGAATTGATGTCTGATGGTGTGAATTTTATATCGGTAAGATAGTCATAGAGAAGATGAAGATCAGAATTCGTTTCGTGGGTGTAAGTTGATGGTTGTCTAGCTCCACATTTGAATTCATTTCGTTCAAGGATAACATGCCAAGGCTTGTCCGGAATTGTTGTTGTTGCTTTGCATTTTTATTTTTAACAAAGTTTGTTGAAGGGCCCTCTCTTTCCAAACAGTAACCAGTGGTATGATGGACCGAACAACCGATCACGAACCGAACACGGACCGATCACGAACCGATCACGGACCGAACAACCGATCACGAACCGAACAACCGACACGAACCGAACACGGACCATCGATGATGGTAAAAGACAGGAATGACATGGACCAATGATGAGGAAAACAAATGCCCATTTATAAGAGAATTCCATCATTCGTATTCACGTTTGTCCTTCACAGTTGCAGGTGTGGCGAGAGCTTCAAAAATCACTTCTTGAACCTCGAATTTTCCCCTGTAGAGGTTTTAGGCCATTCTCAGCAAAATCAGAGCTGAGAGGCACTAACACGGATCATAAATAATTCAAAAATTCGGTTATTTTTACGGTCTAAGATGATTGCGAGCACCGGTCATTTTGCGAGCAACCGGTCATTTTGCGAACAACCGGTAAACAACTCACTATTAACAATAACAATAAATCAAGCATTTACATCCAAAGGGAATTGAACCAACACCATCTTTACTCTAATAGTACACTACAACACTTCGCTATTGGAACCTCTTTTAAGTGGGCACAGTTCTCCATTGACCGTCAAACACATCACCATCCAGTACAATGGAACCCGTAGGGTCAAAGAACTTAAAATGCACAAATGTTGGATTTTGATCAATATCAATCCAAGATCCAATGGCAAACCTATCATCACCTGGTTGAGTATTCTTCAAAATGAAATAGCCGCTACTGTCGTACAATGGTCTAAAATCAGGTGCTATCTCTGTTATTTTCCACAATTTACCAGATCGTTCTTTATATGCCCATAAAGAAAGACTTTGAATGGCCCTTGTTTTTGTGGTTGTGGCATTTATCGAAAACGGTATTAAAGGTGGGTCGTTTGAAGGAGGGTCCAGCTCTTGAGAGACCTCTTTGTATTCATAACTCTGGATATTGTTACCGACTGACATAGTCACAAACCTGGATATGTATAATAAAGGCTCAGACCCAATTCTATACATATCTCTGATAGCAGGGTTGGAATATTGTGGCGAAACATACTTACTCTATGTTAAATACATGTACAAATGTTAATCTAGTAGAAGGATTGGATCTTGTGGGATAATGCACAACCAACGTCAAACCTGCAGCATACTCATGAGGGTTTGATTTAGACCAGAGTCTACCCACTTCTATTTGAGTTATTCCTTGAGCATCACTCAGTGCATTGTTTTTCCTGTTCCAGGTGGTCCATATAATAAAATGGATGACACTGCTCTGATATCATATTGATGAATGAACGATGGCTCCTGATAAACATCCGTTCCTCTTGCATGGGCAGGGTTTTTTGCCGTGTTAAGGGACACTTTTTTTCACCCTGTTGTCTATGAGTCTCTGACAGTAAGGATGAGATCCTTATTGGTATCACTAATGGTGTCACTATTGATGCAGGTGTTGAGAGCCTTTGGAAGGCTTGCACCATGTCAATGTTGATCATTGACCAAATCTTTTACCGTGAGGCTAGTAGTTGCATAATGGGAGTTTATTCAAGACTCCAACAGGTACCATAGTGCGATGGTTAGAAATGAATTGAGTTTGAAGGGGATTGGTGTATCAATGTGTCTACTAATACGTGTGGTAGAATAAACTCATAATTTCTAGATTTATTGTTGTCTTGGTGGACAAATGCCAGTTTTCAAAACCGGTAATCGGTTTTTTTACGGGCAATCGATTTTTATTTGTCTGTTCTTTGTGACCGGTCCTGGACCTGTAATCGATTTTTTGACCGGTAATCAGTTCTTTAACCGGTTTCCGGTTTTTTGAACGGCGACCAAGAATATTGCCTCAGCAAAGAGAGGACTTTTCAACACTCTGTTCAATAAGGACAACAATCTCTGAACCAAACCAATTCGTCGAAAAATTACCTTGTGTTGTATATCATTACACTATCGTGACACGATTGTCTAAGACTATTTTAACACAAGGTAATTTTTAAAAGGAAAAAGTAATTAAAAACTTTACCTCAACAACAGAGGGTGTGATTGGAGAAAAAGGAATCTCTTCTTGCTCGGTTTACACTGGTGTTGCCAAATTACCTAGATCTGAGAGTGATGGTAGTAGTGTACTGGTGTAATGTATCTTTGGAATTCTCCACAAGGCTGTCCTGCTTATTTAACGAACAAATAATAACCAGCTTCCTACAAAGTCAACTGTGACAAGAACATTTATTTCGTATTAATAGTGTTTGTTATTTGTTGTTAAAGAGCTCTCGGATTTCATGCTCTCATCGAAAAAATCAGGTTTCAAAAGTTATTGCCGGTTTTCGTTTTCAAAAAGCGATTTCAGGTTTCAAAGTCATTCTTGTGAATTTTTTAATGAAATAAATATTCGTTCTTAGATCATCTTAGATTAATCTGTTGTGGATGAATTTTTCACAATAATCTGATGAGAAACAAAGTTGTTGTATGGTTGTTTGTTGGAATATTACTATTGTTGTCTGTCTCCATGTGCTGGCTTTCAATTTTAAATTACAAAATCATGAATGCAAACAATCCACGAATGTATGTTACTTCTTTTCTTGTTTTTGTTTTTGTTTCTGCAATTGATCTTGCGCTTTCTTGACCCAGACCAAGCGTTGTTTGTGAGCTTCGGTTTGAGTTGGTCGTTTGAATGCTCGGGCTGATACTTCTTCGGACGTTCCACCATTTTGAAGCGAGCTTTGTGTAAAGCCAGGTATTTTGACATTCCAGTTCTTTTCAAGATGAAGTTGTAAATCTTTCACTTCCAATGTATCGGAGCCTCGATGTTTTGCTAGGGAGCAGGCAAATGTTGTTACAGATTCAATAAAGTCGTCGGCAATTTCAAGCAGTATCTGATGCCATGTAGTCAACGTTGAGGTTGTTGGATGATGGCGACATATATGAGTATAAACAGCACGTAGTGGTTTTTCGGAAGTGTGATGATGATGATAATTGTGTGGGATTTGAATATATTATTCATCATCATGGTAAATTGAAAAAATTCAGCCACCTACCTCTTCAACCTCGGGATCCAACGAATGTCTTGGATCAATTTGTTGGGTCATCTCTTGCAATTTACTCTTCTTCAACACGGTGCGATCATTGCTGTTGATGTTCATTTTTTTTTTAATTTACAATTTGTATTTTTCAAACTTTAAGTTTAAAAATTTATTCACTTTCAATCGTTGGTCAACTCAAGGTTGGTAATTATCATCATCCAACTCTCCTTCATAACCACAAACACACATTCGTGGAGAGTTGGTAATTTTGAAAATATTGTCTTTGAGACGATCACTACTTCTTTCACCGTCGTCTTCTTCATCTTCTTCATCACTGCTCTCTTTGGCACATTCCTCACATAATGGATATCTCGAGTCGGTTACCATGCTTGCTTCCATATAAACAGCTGGAGATTTGCAATTGATGCATTTGTATTTCTGGGGTGCATTTCTTGCAATTAAGCGTGTGGCAGGTAATTTTGTATTGCTTTTCACAATTGAAATCAATTCCAATTCTAATGTGGTAGTTGTACCCATATCATACTCGTATGAAAATATCTTGCCAACGTCGTGACGATCGAAAATTCTGTACATTGGAGAATCGAGTGGCTTGTCTGAAAAGTGAGACAACATGAAAGGAAAAGCATTCATCACTGGTTGTGAATAAGTGGTACCCTCAATACGAAATTGTGACAAGTGTCCACAACATTCACACCAGTATTTTCTTAGTAACGTGTCCAATTCTGTCATTTTGGAGTCAAAGGACATTTCAACAAATAGCCACATTTTGTTCCAATCATTCGCATATTTTGGACATACTCTAAATCTCATGATCACATCTTCACAAGGTTTGTTAGTGGAGAAGCTATTCAGCCGTGTACATGTTAAAATGTGATCTTTCATGGATTGTAATCCACCATTCACTTTTTCATTGCATCCACGACAGTATCCGTAAAATGTTGTTTGAAACTTGTCTCTCTTTTTTGACTGTTCTTTCTGTGGAGGAAATAATAATTTCTTTTGACGTTTTAATTTTGAATTCCAAAACAAGTCAATCAATTGATCTTTGGGTAGAGAGGAAAGATCTTCTTCGGAGGATCTATTCCCTGTTTCAATCACTTCATTTTGGAATGGTAATCTTGATGAATCTGAGGGACGAGAGGATGATCCTGCACCATCGGAAGATTTATTCTTCTTGATCATGTGTTGAAGAAGAGTGTGTTGTGGAGTACTTGTGTCTTGATCGGACGAGTAAGAAGAGCCTGATGATGCTGATTCCGAATCATTGTCCTCTCTGGATCGTTTCTTATCGGCTGAGGTTGATGAAGACAAAATGCGCATTTTTTTTTCAAAGTTGTTTTTTCAAAAGTTGAACTTTACGCTGCGTAAGGGTGTACATGAATCGTGTATTAGTAGTTAAGGGATCCACTGATGTTAAGGATGCAGTTATGTATGGTGGTCATGTATGGTGCAACTCGTAAAGAAGAATGCATCTGTCTTTCTGACGATAAAAGATTTATTAATGTCAGTCAAACAGAGAAGCAACATACAACTCGCACATGGAAGGCGACAAAGTTGAGGAATCTTCCTCGAAGGAGAAGTCATGAAGATCTTGAAAGACCATGTTCTGTAATCGTTCCTGAGATATTACACTTGGAAGCAGGTAATATTCTTCAAAATCTGTCTTCATGTCCATTGACGAAGAGGAAGCAGTAGGTGGAGATGTAGACACAGCTTCTATCCTCACCAATAGTAGAATCTCTTGAGGAAAAACACAAGGTGGTGTTTTGAACAAGTTTTCCAAATCCATGTTACAATCTTTGACTC